GTTACTTTCAGGGATTTTTGCAAAATATGAAAGTGATAGATCGGCTTTAACACCCTTAACACCCTGTGCCTTTTCTTTTTTTTTTTTTTATAATTCTTTATTTTGTAATGACAGAGGAAATCATATATCGCAGTTGTACAGCTTATGCAAAAGCCTATGCATGGTTTGAAAAAATAAAGGTGCATTTGGGTCAAATAGTGCATGTGGTCCTTATGACATATCATGTATGATATTGGTACTTAATCTCCACCTGTCAGTGGTTTTATAGGTAATACAAATAGAAGTAACAGAAGAGAAGGAATATTAACCAATAACATAGTTAACGTGTTGTAACAGTACGCCTTGTCTTGGTGGCTGTACAGTACATGTATAGGTGTTCACTGTGTTTAGACTCTTTGTGAAGAGCTGTTAAATAATCACATTCGTAAAAGGCAGAAAAATGGACTATCACACTATCAGGAAATGTCAATAAATCCATGACTTCTATTGGAATTCAAATTATGCCAAAGTAAAAAACAAAAAAAAAGTTGACTGCAAAATGTTACTGCAGTGTTTTAATTTTTAAAAAATGTATAAAAGTTAGTTAAGTGTATATTAGTGTTAATATTTTTTTGAAGGGTGATAAATAATCTTAATATCTCTTAACTCACTGATGTGCATTCTTGTTACTTTTAGTCTGAGAATCCCAGCTGCCACCAACCAGATTCTCTGTTTTACCCCCCTGATATTATAAGAGGGGTTATGCAGTCCAAATTCCACACCTTCCATGCTGTCTTCTCTGGTGTGAAGATAGGTTTATGGCCAGTACTAGACAGATTTATGATGGGATTTATTAACTGCCTCTAATTGCCCTCATTTTTCTATTTACAAGCTGACATGCCTGGGTTCTGCAGTGGAATGAAGGAGAGGGTCTAAGCAGAGACATTTGTATATTTGTTTGTTACTGTAATTGTGTTAAAGGGACACTATAGTCTCCAAAACAACTTAAGCTTAATGAAGCAGTTTTGGTGTACAGATCACGGCTCTGAAGTTTCACTGCTCAGTTCTCTGCCATTTAGGAGTTAAATCACATTTGTTTCTGTTTATGCAGCCCTAGCCCTACCTCCCCAGACTGTGACTGACACAGCCTGTATGAGAGCAAAATTGTTTTTTATTTTCAATCAGATGTAACTTTACTTTAAACGTTTTTATCTCCTGCTCTGTAAATTGAACTTTAAAGGACCACTAAAGTGCCAGGAAAACATACTCGTTTTCCTGGCACTATAGTGCCCTGAGGGTGCCCCCACCCTCAGGTATCCCCTCCTGCCAGACTCTAGGGGGAGGAAGGGGTTAAACTTACCTCTTTCTCAAGCGCCGGGCGGGAGACTGTCCTCCTCCTCGGCTGAATGCGCATGCGCGGCAGGAGCCGCGCGCGCATTCAGCCAGTCTCATAGGAAAGCATTCTCAATGCTTTCCTATGGACGCTGGCGTCTTCTCACTGTGAAAATCACAATGAGAAGCGCGGAAGCCCTCTAGCGGCTGTCAATGAGACAGCCACTAGAGGCTGGATTAACCCTATTATAAACATAGCAGTTTCTCTGCTCTGAAACTGCTATGTTTATAGAAAAAAGGGTTAATCCTAGCTGGACCTGGCACCCAGACCACTTCATTAAGCTGAAGTGGTCTGGGTGCCTATAGTCGTCCTTTAATCACACAGGAGACTCCTACAAGGGTTAGCAAACTATTAACAGATCAGAAAATAAGAAATTCTAAATTAAATATTATTTGCAATACGGTATAAACATTAGATCTCACTTTGCAGGAAGTGTTTAGGAAGGCTGTGTAAGTCACATGCAGGGAGGTGTGACTAGAGCTGTATCAACAAAGTGATTTAACTTATAAATGGCAGATCACCGAGCAGTGAGACTGCAGGGGCATAATCTATACACCAAAACCACTTAATTATGCTAAAGTTTCTTTTTGTGCTTATAGTATCCATTTAAGTATATGGAGTGTTGGTTCTCCCTACCAGTTCAAAATCCTAATAACTCACATTTTAGTGAATAGACCTGGGGAGGTTATAATTTATTTTAGTAATCTTCTGGTGTGTTAATAAAATGTTAATCTACATGTGTTCCCTGTACCCTGAACATATTAGGAACTTTCTTATGTCATAGCTGTCAAAGTAGCATTTTGTATATTATCATCGAAGAAATATCTGTGTATGGGTGTTTGGTAATGTACATGTTCAAACCAAAGAATTCTTTGCAGGTATTGTTTTGTTGTTTTTCACATCCAAATCTTCTATTTAAAAACTGAAGACAGCATTCTGAATATGTGACTTTATGTCTTGTCCTTACAAATAATAAAGTGTTAAGGTTTGGTTTAACAATTATCTAAATGGTTTATCCAGTGCATTGTCTGCTTATCTTCTGAGATACATTGTCATAAGTCAAAATAGATGGTTGCTCTCATGACAGTTTCACTTTGAAGAGAATAGCTCCTAAAGCAAGCTCCTCATTATTTATAAAGATATATATTTATTCCTTTAGTGAGATCTTATATTAAAACTCACCTCCTCTCCTGAGAGCCAGTGGTGCCATGACAGAGGGAGGAATCATGTCCCTCCTGCCCCCCTCTCAACCCCTCCTCAATTGGCCTTGCTAGAAAATCTTGCCCCATGACACCGACACAGTGGCTTCCTTGCCAGCACATCGCTGTGAGAATGTAGTGACAACTGCAATTCCATTCCTATACGTCTCTAACAAGCACAAGACTAGAGGAGGAATCACAGCAACTACACTGTATTCGCTGCTGCTGCTGCTGCTAAGACAGAGAGCACAAGGACCACCTGTCAGAAGGTTTCTACATCTCTCCCGTCATTCCAGTATCAGCATGGAGGGCAATACCATCAGCATGGACGAGAACGGGAGGCATGATTGTTTTAAACCGTGTTTTCTAAAAATGTATACATGTCCCAGCATTTCCATAAACACAATTAATCAATGGATTTTAAGGACATTTAAATGGTCACAGTGTGGTGTACCATGACAGGTACACATTAACTGAAGATTGTCGAAAAGGTGTACGGCAGGAGTGCGTTCGTTAAAACTACATCTTCCCCACATTGCACATTTTTTGTGTTTATCCCTATAAGCAGTAATCTGGCCACACGCAGTAATCTGGCCACACACAGGCAGATGACCAGCACTACACTATTTTGATGTAAATCCCTCTATCAGCTTTTGTAGCACTACAACCATTTATAGCAGCTAAGGATAGTGGTAGTTACAGTCCCAACAGGAGAACATCCCTTTGTGGCCTGGCTATATTCTCTGTTTTATTAAATTAATCCATCCATGGCAAGCAGATAATACCGTGACACAAATGGAAAGCCTTCTGTCTTAAAAGGGATTCACTTATATTACTATTATTTTACTCTTTATATAGCGCCATCAGAGTCCAATGGAACACAATATGGAACACAATTCTATAATGGCCAATTATATGTGTAACATGTTACTAGGCTTTGATACATGTGTAGGAATTATTTTAACGTCAGGAGTACAATCGTTCCTCAAATTCGAGGTGGCGTCAGGCAGCAATTAAACACTGCTTTTTATGTGAGCCTGCCCGGGCCGGTTGTATGGCCAGAACCACTACTTTAAGTTGTAGAAGTTCTGCTCCCTAGAGTGTCTCTTTCTTCATGCTAAGTATTTTTTTGAAAGCTAAACTGAAATGAAGTATGAACTTGTGAAAATTAAAATGGACTTGTGTTAAAGGGACACTCAATGAAGTGGACTGGATGCAACGATATTGATACCTTAGAGAGGGTTCAGAGAAGGGCTACTAAACTGGTTCATGGATTGCAGGATAAAACTTACCAGGAAAGGTTAAAGGATCTTAACATGTATAGCTTGGAGGAAAGACGAGACAGGGGGGATATGATAGAAACATTTAAATATATAAAGGGAATCAACACAGTAAAGGAGACTATATTTAAAAGAAGAAAAACTACCACAACAAGAGGACATAGTCTTAAATTAGAGGGACAAAGGTTTAAAAATAAGTATGCATGGATAGTAGCTGAAGTGGTAGAGGTTAACACAGTAAAGGAGTTTAAGCATGCGTGGGATAGGCATAAGGCTATCCTAACTATAAGATAAGGCTAGGGACCAATGAAAGTATTTAGAAAATTGGGCAGACTAGATGGGCCGAATGGTTCTTATCTGCCGTCACATTCTATGTTTCTCAAACCATTCCTGAACAATTTTTGTAGTGTGGCATGGTGCATTTGCTGAAATAGGCCACTACCATCAGAGAACACAATATTCATGAAGGAGTAAACATGGTCTGCTACAAGCTCTAGGTAGATGGTATGTGTCAAAGTAATGTCCACATGAATGCCAGCACCCACAGTTACCGAGCAGAACATTGCTCAGACCATAACACTGCCTCAGCCGGACTGCCTTTTTCCCATAGTCCATCCTGCTGCCATCTTTAACCTAAGTAAATGATGCACATGCGCATCTGGCCATCCACCTGTTTTAAAAGAAAATGTGATACATCAGACCAAGCAACCATCTTCCATTGCTCCATGGTCCAGTTCTGATGCTCATGTCCCCATTGAAGGTGCTTTTGGCATTGGACAGGGGTTATCATGGGCAGTCTAAATGGTCTGTGGCTGCACAGCCCAATACACAGCAAACTACAATGCACTGTGTGCTGACACCTTTCTATCATGGCCAGCATTAAGTTTTTCAGCAATTTGACCTACAATAGCTTTTCTGTGTGATCAGACCAGACAGGCTGGCCTTCGCTCCCCATGTGCATCAATGAACCTTGGATGCCCATGACCTTAACACCAGTTCACCAGTTGTCCTTCCTTGCACTACTAACCACCATATACCGAGAAGTGACTGTTCACTTGCTGCCTGATATATCCCACCCCTTGACAGGTACCATTGTAACTTCATAATCAGTGTTATTCACGTAACCTGTCAGTGGTTTTAATGTTGTGGCTGAGCAGTTTATTGGTTTTCCATAAAGGAAACACTTGAATATTTTGGTATTATTCCCTTTATTTAATTTATTTCACCGGAAGGCAGTGTAATTTTAATACCTTGTGAAGGATAGGCTACGGTGGGAGGAGGAATAATGCTACATAAACAGAAACAAAACCAGAAACAAAAAAAGCCATTTAACTCCTAAACAGCAGAGAATTGAACAGTGAGGCTGCAAGGGCATGATCTATACACCTAAACTGATTCATTAAGCTAAAGTTGTTTTGGTGCTTAGAGCGTGCCTTTAAAAAGAAAAAAAAAAGGAACAAGCCAACATTAAAAATCCATGGATTTATTTTTAGCGTTAGAGTGTTCCTTTAAGCCACTGCTATTCTGTCTCTCAACCTGCCTAATTTGCTGGGAGCTGACATTCTAACGGCAAGCCACTCTCCTACATTGGAATAAAATGTTTGTAAGCAGGAGATTTTCCAAGCATCCAAAGACACATTTGACAAGTGCAATATACACATCTCAGAATGTTCCGATTCTCAACAAGCGACCTTGGGCTGTCGCCCCTAAGCAGCTGCTCCCTGCCTGAGACACTTAGAGTAGCCAGCAATAAACAGAAATGGTGTCCATTATGCTCTAGCTATTCCCATTCAAGCATTAAACACTCAATTTTATATTTTCTTCTTGTCTTGCCCACTTAGTTGATGTTTTCAATGGTTTTCATTTAGAATCCTGAAAGAAAAAAAATGAATTGAGTATATTTTTTATCGTAAACAAGGACTAGTACAATTTTTTTTAAATTTTTTTTTATTAAACTCAGACAAATATCCTACTCTCGCTGTGCTGCAAAGTGCCTTTGACACAAATACAAGGGAGCAGATGTGAAGTTTAGCAGTGAGACACTCTTTCGAGCAACATTTAATCACAAAGAAATTCTCAAAAGACAAACAGATGAACTTGGTGAGAGTCGCTGGGCCTGGCTGCGCACACTAAATGCATTGTGGTTGCTGGAAAAATAATTTACATTTCAATTCTTGGCAGACAAAAGAAATGTTTTTCTCCAGCTCTGTATCTTTCCAAGTCTCAGAGACTTCTCCACCTGAACCTGTACAATAAGGCAGCTTAAAATACAGATGCCGTGGTGAGATTGTAAGACCCAGAAATGGCAATATATAAACTGGTTCTCCTGTCTTTTTTCTTTTTCAAACTCGATGAATATTAAAATTCATAAGACTTGCATTTTGATCAAGGAATAGAATTCGGTCGAGAAAAGTATTTTTTGTTATGATATCCTGTCGATCACATTGCGTTATTACAGGCTTTCAAATCATTAAACTCTGCAAGGAGCATGTTATATCAAAATGTGCTCCCTACGAAAGATCCTTGTCTTTCTTCGGTGTCTATTGAATTAATTAAAAATCACAGGTTTCATAACAGAGGATTATCCTTCTGAGTTATGGGGTTTGGAACCAATACGTGATTCAAACTGCAAAATCATATTTAATGAAAAATGTATCGACACGATTTTGGTGACAGCATTTCCTTGCTATCATTCGGGTTAATTATTGTTTTTGACTTATAAATATCAACAAACAGTTATTTAACAGATTGTTCACTAGCCAACAATCCAATGTCCAATATCCTATATTATCCACTGGTTGTATTTCCTGAACAGTGATAAAATATAATGTCATTTTTGTGGGCAGAAAACCATTCTTTAAAGGCAAATGATATCCCTTATGTGATAAAATTGCTGAATTATGTTTTTTGAGATAATCTCAAACAGTAATTAATCCAAAATGCCGAATGTCTAGCCTAGACTCTGTAACTGGCACATAATTGTTGATCTATCTTTGAGAATTAAAATGGTACATTTTTTGTATCAATTTCTTTTTATTAGAGTGAAGAAGTCTTAAGCATATACAATGTGATAACAGGCACAATAGAGTTCCATACAAAACAGCGCTAATCACAATGCATTGTACAACATCCCTAGACCATTGTTGGCCCCATATCTTCCTTTTTTTTGTTATGTAGTAAACACCCTTACAGGGATATGAGGAGATGAGAGAGCCAATTTAGGATATTGAACTTATCACCAAGTTTTAGCTATAGGGCTCTCGCCCAGTAGATCATAAGAGATTATGCAAACCATTTTACATACACTTTTCCAATAAGCATGTAACGTCTCAGCCTATCCCCGTATGTGCGGACCGCACATAGGAGAGCTAGGGTTCCTATCGTGGTAGTGTGTATCACTGAGTGTTTGAGTAGAAAGGAGTAACAAGAGGGGGAGAGAAGAGGGAGAAGGGAAAAGGGGGAGGGCATGATTTGATTTTCTAGAGTTGCACCAAGCATACATCATTAGGGTGCGGTAAAATTAAGTATTATGTCCTCTCGAAATGTACTGCACTCTGCCTAACATATAGCGAGCTCAATGTCACTTAACTACGTGAGCTCGGATTGTGACCTCCATCTTCGTTCGGGTGCGTGTGTTGGGGTCCACCAGGTCACTTAACCATTCATTGGCGGTAGTTTAGATATATGGCCAAAAGAGAGGGAGAATGAGGAGGTAGCAGAGGTGTACCCGTTCTACTGAGAACGTGGGTGGGAGGGGGTTATAATGTTGGGACGTGCACATTGGCCTTGCACCGCCGGGCCACCGCCCTAGCTCCTCGTGTTTTGTGATATGAAAGTGAACCATGGAAACCACCGTTCGGCATGTTTGTCCCCTCTGTCCTGTATGGATGCCTGTAGTGCTTCAGCCCCTTGGATATCCTCAACCCTGCGGATCCAGTCTTCTTCGTTGGGTATCTCCGTCCGTTTCCAATATAACGGAATGAGCGACTTGGCCGCGATCAAAAGATGTCTGAGAATTGATTTCTTATAGGAGGATAACGGCATCTGCGATATATGTAGGAGGGCCAGAGCAGCCGACCATTCCGTCACATCGCCCAGTATATCTGTTATTCGTTGTTTGATCAGATCCCAGAATGGGGTTATTTTGCTGCACTCCCACCATATATGCATTATCGTCCCTCTATCCCTCTGGCATCTCCAGCATGTAGGTGCAACAGTTGGGAAGATCCTATGTAGGAGAACCGGGGTCCGATACCACAAGGTAATCAGTTTATAGTTCGTTTCTTGATATTGAGAACTAACTGAGCTCTTGTGTTGCCACAGAAGTGCCTTATCCCATTGTTGTGGCGTAAAGGTTGTGTCCATCCGCTCCTCCCATTGCCTGCGGAACATTGCATTCGCCGTCAGGTGCCCCGTCAGGATGTGTTGATAAAGTATAGAGATAGCATTATCCAGTACGATCTTCCTCTCACAGCAGTCCTCGAACCATGTGCGATCCCTGTGCAATCGTTCCTTGTCACGCAAATTATTGTGGTAGTGCTTCACCTGTAGGTAACGGAGTACTGCCAATGGCGTCCGTGGTCGTCCCTCTAATAGTGTGAACCATTCCGCAAGGTTGTGTGGATTGGAACGTACTCACGTCCTTCCAGAAAAGGCCACATCACTGGTGGAAATCCGCCCCCTATCTCTTTGTTATGAGTGATGGAAAGCATTGGACTAGGTGTAGGTGAGATATGGATTACCTCTCTCATGGAGTTCCAGGTGTATAGCGTTTGTTCCAGTAGTCCCTCGTTAGTTATTCGCAATGCTCTTCTGGTTCCCTCTCCCTAGATGGCTGGTTGCACAGGAGTGTCGGGGTTGTCCCGTGTCAGTGCCACCCACTGCTTTTGTTGGGGTTCTGCGTGCAGCTCAATTATATGCTGCAGGACCATGGCTTGGTGATATTTCCTGAAGTCGGGCAACGCTAGCCCACCACGATGCCTGGGGAGACAGAGTAAGTCAAATCGTAATCTCGCCCTCTCCCCTCGCCATACGTACCGTATGACCGCAGATTTTAGTGCGGAGAAGAAGGTGGTCGGTAGGGCCAGTGGGATTGTTTGGAACGGATAAAGCAGCCGTGGTAGAATGTTCATCTTTAGAACAAAATGCCACGAGATGTGCGGGTTACTTTCTGCAGGAGAGGGGTAAAGTTGTGTCGGTACAGATCATTAGGGTGTGGGGTTATCCAGATCCCCAGATATTTCATTTTTTGATAGCACCACCGAAACGGGAACAGTGGTTCCAGGGCCGCGTATTCGCCCTCAGGCATTGATACATTTAGCACTTCGCATTTAGATAAATTGAGCTTGAAGCCCGAGATCGAACCAAACGTCTCAAATTCCGACAGCAGGCAGGGTATCGCAATTCGAGGATTTGTTATGTAGAACAAGAGGTCGTCCGCATATGCGGCTACTTTATGCGTTGTGCCCTGCCATGAGAAGCCACTGATGTCGGGTTTCTGGCGTATCTTCTGAAGCAAGGGTTCTAATGAGATAGCAAAGAGTAACGGGGACAGGGGGCATCCCTGCCTCGTACCATTGGAGATCTCGAAATCTCCGGTGAGTGCGCCGTTGACTCGCACCGCTGCTCGCGGCTTATCGTACAGGGCCCGAATCATCGTGAGGAATCGGTGTCCCATTCCCATCTGGCCAAGGGTGGCGAACATATGTGACCATTTCACACGATCAAACGCCTTCTCAGCATCTGTGGAAATCAGGAGAAGGGGTTGTTGCGTTTTCCTCGCCTGGTGTTGTATCGCGAAGAGCCGAAGCGTGCTATCTCTCGCCTCCCGACCCGGAATGAATCCCGTTTGATCTTTGTGTATGAGAGTAGGGAGGATGGATTGGAGTCTGGTAGCTAGTACTTTTGTAAACAGTTTGGTGTCAACGTTCAACAACGAGATCGGACGATAGCTACCGCAAAGCGATGGGTCTTTTCCGGGTTTAGGAAGAACCGTGATAGTGGCCGCTAAGGATTCGGCTCCGAAGCGACCCCCATCAGCGATCGCGTTAAGGGCCTTTGTGAGCCACGGTAAGACTATTGATGAAAATGTTTTATAGTAGCCTGCGGAAAATCCGTCCGGGCCTGGCGCCTTCCCCTTCTCGGTTGCCTTCAGTGCTGCCGCCAATTCATCCTCCGTGATCTGGGTCTCCAGGTCGGTGGCTGTGTCAGGAGAGATGGTTGGTTCGACTGTGTCATGGAGGTAATCCCGTGTGCGCGCCATTATCGTTGCGGAATGCGCCTGCGTGTTCTCCGCATCCAGGTTATACAAGGATCGATAGAACAGCTGGAATTCCCCTGCAATATCCACCGGTAGGCTAGAGATCACGCCTGAGGTGAGGTGTAATTTGCGAACCTGGGTGCGGGGTATCTGGCCCCTCAGCAAACGGGCAAGGAATCGCCCCCCCTTGTTAGCGTGAGTGTAAAAAAATGCTTTAGAGCGTTGCAGAGAGCGGTGGTGGCGTTTCATAAGGAGCTCCTTTAGTTGTCGCCTGGATTGCATCAAATCCCGATATGTCTCCATGAGGAGCGATCTTTTATGCTGGCTTTCCAGCTCCGTGATTCGTCTGTATAGGTTAGCCATCTCCTTCATCGCTGTTTTCTTATTATATGTAGCTATGCGTATGAGCGTGCACCGCAGGACGCTCTTGTGTGCTTCCCAAATCGTTATTGGAGATATGTCCGGTGACGCGTTATCTTGGAAATAGTGGGTCAGGGCTGGCGAAACTTGTTCCCGCGTGCCGGGGTCTAGGAGCAGAGTCTCGTTGAGTCTCCATGTCCACCTAGACGGGCGAAAAAGTGGAGACTCGAGTTCCATAACCACGGGACCATGATCCGACCACGTAGCAGGCTCTATCTTGGCTAATATTATTCGCGATAACCCCGCTTGTCTGATAAAGAGGTAGTCGATGCGAGAGTACCTATCGTGAATGGCGGAGTAGTATGTAAAGTCTTTCACGGAAGGGTTGAGTGTTCTCCAGCAATCGGCGAGGTCCATATTGCCCAGGATTCTCCGGATTGCTCGTAAGTGCAATTGTGAGATGCTGCTGTGCCCCGTAGAGGAGTCCAGAATGGGATCCAGTGGGACATTGAAGTCGCCTCCGAGGACTAGGATGCCCTCTGAGAAGTCATTCAATTTTGCCAGAGTGCTTTTTAAGAACGTTGCTAGTCGTTTGTTGGGGACATAAATGTTGGCAAAGGTATATAGCTTGCCCGCTATTGCCCCCTTCAGAAAGAGGTATCTGCCTTGTGTGTCGGTAACGGTATCCATCACCTGGAACTCCAGGTCCGCGGAGAGCAGGATAGCTACACCTGCTTTTCTTGCCGTGGGGTGGTTGCAGAAATGGTTTGTCGGGTAGGATTTATTGTGGAGAGTAGGCGATGCGCCGGATCGAAAGTGCGTTTCCTGTAGCATCGCCACCGATGTGTGTCGTTTCCTAAACTTGCGCAGGAGGTGGGTCCTCCGTTCTGGGATGTTCAATCCCCTGCAGTTAAGAGTGAGGACAGACAGGGGTGCCGGCTGGTAGGCCATGGTTTTTAGCGTATGAGGGTTATATGTGGTGAGCGATAAGTTCCCAAGCCTCCTCCCAGCCTATGACGGCCCCAACCACCCCGCGAGGGCGCAGGCTCCCATGGCAGGCCAATTGGTGCAGGCGGGGGGAAGAGTCTGCTTTTTAGAGGGCAGTGGAGGTGTAGAGAGGGTGGTGTGAGGGGGGGGGGAGGAGATGGCAGGTAAGGGAAAGTGAGTGGGAGGAGATGGGAGTGGACAAAAGTAGGGGTGGGTTAGATGGCAGAGGGAAAAAGAGAAGAGAAAAGTAGAGTAAACTTCCCGTCTAATGGGTGTCTACGCCGGGGTAAGAGGTACCCCTCTTGTGCCACCCCTAGAAGTGGGGCGACTCGTGCTGCGGCGGGTAGCACAAGGAACACGTCCCAGTAACCAGACCTCTAGACAGTGTCCCGCTGTGGTCCGTCGCGTGTCTGTAGCACGAGTAAGAGTGGGGCTACGTGGGTCAGTACCCAACCAAGTGGTATCAGGTGGTTGTGTTAAAATAGTAAATTATACAAAATATGTTTGTATATGTTTTGAAAAAATATATGGAACAGCTGTTATTATTTTCATTAAATAGTGTTAACAAATGAGCAGTGATGTATATAAGAGAAGAGAATAATATTAATTCTATGTCAATTTTAATTTCCGTAGACTGCAAAATATAGCTTTGAGTATCCAATGGGAATAACAATGTATATATAATGTAAATAGAGTATTCTGCAATATGTGTTAAAGGAACACGATAGCATTAGAAATAAAAAACTGTATTCCTAATGCTATAGTGTCCCTCTGCCTCTGTGCCCCTTTTAAAACCTTCTTTAATTCCAGCGCCGTCACACCAATGGAGGACGTAAAGAGCATGCGCGCGCATTAGAACATCCCCATCCAAAAGCATTGAATCATTATTGTGGGGATTTTGAAGACACTGGACATCTTCGCCTTGATCAAATAATGAAATTATTCATAATTGAAATACTCCTCGTAGATTTGAGCATTTCCTATATGCATACTCATCTTTTATTCTGCCTATGGCAAGTTACAGACATCCACATTGGGTTGTTGTTTTTTGTCCATTGGACAAAAATGGGAAATGGTAAAATGGGACCAAGAAGATTCCTGGTCTCCAGGACCTCTGTCTAACCTCTGGGCCTTAGGCAGTTGCCTAGGGTCACCTTTTGGTTAATTCTGCTCTGAGCTCGGGTAACTCGACTGCAAAGAGGCAGAACTCAGCAGATGAAGCTAAAACGCTGAATAACACGAGTTAACATAGGAGTAAGGACTTCCACATCAGCAACTGGCACGCACAGCAATGGCGATGCTAGACGCTTGCACACAAATCAGAGCAGAAGGTAAATAGTTACACAGCCCTGAGGGATTCTTTGTGTTGTGTGTCCTCTTTATTGTAAAGCAACAGTGCACGAAATGAGCTGACACAGCCGTACCAAGCAGAAATCTCACTACTGCAGACACAATTGGTTTTATGCGTCTGAATAGCAGGGGCCATCTTCACAGTGGGCAATCCATCTCCTCGTGCGTGCCGTAACCGGCTGCGCAGACATTTCCAGGGAATGCTGGGGAACAAAGTGCTGTTTAGTTATACCATTATTTATCCCTAGGCCCCAACAATGTTCAGAACAACAAAGTACGTGGAATAGTTTGATGTTGGCACTGCCTGCTTCTGCTTCAGACGAGAAGTTTATCCAGTCCTAGTTACTAATAGGCAAGCACGATTTTGGCTCGAGGCAAATTATTTATACTGTCCCTGATAAAAGGGCATTAAAACCCCAAACCTCTTTTTCTGGTTTAAGTGGAAACACATCAAAGGCAGGCTTTTCTGAAAGAGGAACTGTCATTTATCAGGATATTTAATGGTTACTTATCCCCATATTTATTATTAACACATATGTATTTGTGATGTATAAAAAAAATTAATACGGAAATCCACAACTTTTTATTCTGCCGCTGGGAGCCTCCATCTTAGCTCCATGTCAATCATTGATCAAATGTTATTGTTTACATCTGTCAATCAGCATAGATAATACATACAATTAAACTCGTACTAGCATCCGATTTCAAACATTTCCAGAATATAATCTGCATTCTGTAAGTAATTAAGTACAATAAAAACAGAAGCTCCATGCTCTTTTTAGCCATCTTCCTCTACATCAAACAAGTTTGCAGCTATTAGAATTATATTTCCATCTAGCTTATATCTAATACTTTCATATCGCGCATGCATATTGCATTATTCATTTTAGGGAATATAATTTATATACCACAATGTTTCACACCAAATGTTATACATCCCATCCCCCTCCTCCACCTACCGCGTCTCCCTGATTATCTCCAGAATACGTTTGTAAAATTTTAACTTATTTTACATTCCTTATTTCTCCACATTTCTCCACATTTATTCCTGCACCCGGATTTCCCTTGACAAATATTTCAAAAGTTTTGTGGCCCCTTTTTCTTGTTCCACCTATCTTTGTAAAATGTTCCTTCAGCTGCCTCTAATCTTAACTATTTAACTGCCCCACTACTCAATATTTGCATACGTCTCCAGATTTCTGGATATAAACTTAAAGGATTGCTATAGTGCCAAGAAAACAAACTCCTTTTCCTGGCTCTATATAGTCCTTAGGGCCCCCCTCCTGCTGGGGTGAAGGTGTTAATCCAGCGCCGGGCTCCCTCGGCACTGGTGACCTCTCAGGAAGACAGCCACTCGAGGCTGGATTAACCCTGGAATGTAAACATAGCTGTTTCTCTTAAACTGCCATGTTTACAGGTCTACAGCTGCAGGGTTAAAACCTGGGGAACCCTGCACCCAGACCACTTCATTGAGCTGAAGTGGTCTGGGTGACTATAGTGGTCCTTTAAAAACTTTGTTTTTTTTCAACTCCGCATTATTACCTTGGGTTGTAAGTTCACAGGGCATCTTGTTAAGCACTTTCTATAAAACTACGGTAATTGCTAGATTGTAAGCTCACAGGCATGGCCCTCTGTTCCCATTGTATCAAACTGAGTATAGAGTTTGTATTATTTCATTTAATCACCAAAGTTCTCTTTCACAAATTGTAACGATCTGTGGACTTCTTTACCATTTGTATTGGTCAGTTTATTTATTGTACTCTCTTTTTCCCCTATTGTGCAGCGCTGCGGAATATGTTGGCGCTTTATAAATGCCGGTAATAATCATGTTTTTCTTTAACCTTCTCATTTGCAATGTGTGCCCTGGTTTTGCCTGGTATGAAGTGGATTATGATGTAATTTGATAAATCTTTAATAGGAATTTAAAGGAAAACAGAGAATCTCATGAATAAAGTTTAACACAAGTCATAGGTGATTTGTAACATTTTAGTCAATGTTGTAAATTCTAGAGAAGGGACAATCCCTCTTTAAAACATTTTCCTGATCAGCAATTCATTTCCAGTTGCAGGATTTAAATATTGCAGTGGGGATTACGGGTAATGAGGGGCAGGCACTCTCTTTACAGTCTAGGTAAATTTTGATTGCAAGCTTCCAAGACAACTCACGTAGGTGTGAGATGAAGTAAATACGAGGCATCTCCTTTAATGTTGTCATACATTATTCAAAGGGACAGCAGATAAAACAAACAGCAAGAAAGCAGGTCTTTTGATCTTCCTCCAGTATCCCAGTGAAGTGCAATTCATTTTATCATCTAGCCTTTCTCTGTTTGTATTTGAAAACCTTCACATTTTCACAGGGAATCAGGACATGTTGTAGGGCTGGTTGTAAAATTGACCAAGATCTACAAGAAATCAGAAAAGATGAGGCCGATCAGTAGGGAAAACAAAAAAAACAATTCTTAGTAATCTTGACATGAATCAACATGCCTCTAGCGCTCAGTAATAAATACGTTGTATCTGTAAAAATATAACGTTTTTTTAAAACTTTTTAAACTTTTTTTTTAACCCCCCCTTTAGCGTTTGTTTTCATGTGAATAAAAGCCCATACATGTGAACATCATGTGTAGTTGAAAGCCACGAGGCAGACCTCCCCCCCAAAATAGCTCAATGCATTTCAGATCCCAGAAGGTGTCCACTCAGAAGCAGACATTAAAAATAAAATAAAAAGTCTTATGTAATATAAAGGCCGACAAGAAGTTCAGGTTCGTTATTTTCACATGCACGGTCTATAAACCCACCTTAGGCACAACAAATGGCAGTAGAATGTCTGAGTTCAAAAGCTCCTGAGAGAAGTGGCAGTGATACATTAGAAAGCTCTGTATTTAATACAGGAATGACATATTTTACAGGAGTACTCAAGGACTTTAACTGGGGTCACCTGGACCTCCCCCCTCTCCACCCCTTACGTTATGTTAAAACATTGATATAGGAACACTGCCATTTTTAAAGTGATTTAAACATTTATTGTCGTGCTATCCGATATAGACATGATTTTTGACCAATCAGTAAATTGTCGGAAAACTGTACACTGTAAACCAAAATAGTCAAATTAGAATCATTTCCAAGTCAGCTTGGTTTCCAGCAGAGCCATATATAGTCCTTCAAGGGACACTATAGTCACCAGAACAACTACAGCTTATTGCATTTGTTCTGGTGAGTAAAATCATTACCTTCAGGCTTTTTGCAGAAACATTGTCCTTTCAGAAAAAAGGCAGTGTTTACATTACAGCCTAGGCCCTAGGGGTAACTCCACTGGCCACTCTTCAGATGGCTACTAGAGGTGCTTCCTGGGGCAGTGCTGCACAGTGTGACTGATATTCAGTGGCTCCACCCTCTGCATGGAGACACTGAACTTTCCTCATCATAGAGATTCATTGATTCAATGCACTTATTTGATGAAATGCTGATTGGCCAGGGCTGTGTTTGCTTGTGTTTGCTCTGCCCCTGATCTGCCTCCTTGACAGTCTCAGCCAATCCTATAGGAAAGCATTGGGATTGGCTGAGATAATCACTTCTGATGATGTCAGTCAAGCAGGCAGATCAAAGCAGAGCCAGCAGCAGCAGACTGGATTAAAAGTAAGATTTTACAATATTTAGGGGAGTAAGGGGTGAAAAGGGGGGCTAAATGGTGGTTTTAACACTAGGGTCAGGAATACATGTTTGTACACAGGAATACACTGTCTCCATCTCCTCTGATGTCAGCGCAGATGGTGAACCTAATGCGCGTGCCATGCATGCATTAGACCTTCCCCATTGACTCAGTGCTTTCCTTTTGGGTTTTAGAAGATGCTGGATGTCTTCCAGCTTCATTTCACAGCGTCAAACTCCGTGAAACTCTGAAGAGACAGCCAGTCATAACCCAGCAATACAAACATTGTAGTTTCTTTAAAACAGCTGTGTTTTACATAGCAGGGCTGAGGGGGACAGGGAGTCAGGGACACTGCATCCTGACCACTTCAATCAGATGAAGTGTTTTGGGTGCCTATAGTGTCCCTTTAAATGACAGTTTCGTAAAATGAATTTCAAATATAAGGTCAAAAGAACCCAAACAGAAGCTTAGTTGACTTGGAGAATTTTTCCAGTTATGCCATTATGGCCAAAAAGTTTGAAATTCGCTGTAACTAAAAATTCTTTTATGAGTGTTTTGCATCTCCTGAAAAACCTGTGTAAACAAACAAAAAGCTAATTAATTCACAAGGTTAGAAATATTCCTAAGCTGAAAGTTTGTGTCAGATTCTTTCTAAAGAAATCCCACACAAATCACCGGTGAGTAAAGAAATTGCATTACCCTGTGTGACTTCTCCTTTTTGGTAAATAAGGTGCAGTCCTTAAATAGATTCCAAAGTAACAGTGATTGCAGGCAGAATACAGATGTCTGCATTAGTTACTGTAACTCAGCCAGCTGACTGCTGCTTGGTACATATGTACATAAATTACTTGTCCCCAGGGAACTTAGAAAACAAGTCTGTGCACTTTCAAAAGCACATAGAATACAGCCGAAGTAAAAAATACGTAAGAGAATCAGTAACGTGTTCTAACATTCAGGGTAGTAAAGGGATTCTTAGATCTGGGGGCTTTTAGAATGTGTTTATTCCGAGAAACTAAAAAATATCAATCAGTTGATTCGATTAAAGTGATATTATATTTGGAGACCCAATCAAAGAGATTTGGTGACAATCGCTCGCACGAGTTAAGGATCTGATTATTTACGAACATTATCTGATGAAATTCATGTTTTCGGCTCATCCTAAGCAATATAACCTCTACAGTGCATTTTAAGTTAAACTGTTTGGGAGCGTTTTAACAGCCCAGGAACCACCCGTTCTCAGCCAAGTTGTTTACCCCTTAAGGACCAAACTTCTGGAATAAAAGGGAATCATGACATGTCATGTGTCCTTAAGGGGTTAAAAATTTATACTTCCAGATTTTCCACGTTAAAGGGAAACTATAGTGCCAGGAAAACTAAGTTTTCTCCCTCCTAAATCCTTCCCCCCACACACCCCATGGTGCAGAAGGGGTTAAAAAAACCTTATGTCACTTAGCTGATTCCAGCACCAATATATCCCTCGGTGCTTTTTTAGGTTCCACCTTTGCCAACGTCAGCCCGCTGGGGAGACCTAATGCGCATGCGCGGTGATGGCCACCCTTTCATTAGGACTTCCCTAATAGGAAAGCATTGTGTAGTGTTTTACTATGGGATTTTGGATAATGCTGGACGTCCAGCATCAGTTAGGCGACCAAAAGTCGCCTAACAACCCAGAAGTCCCTCTTGTGGCTGTTTGGTAGACAGCCACTAGAGGTGGAGTTAACTCTGGTAGGTAATTATTGTAAGTTTATTAAAATTCTTTAATGAGCTGCAACGGATTAAGGGACCTGGGACACTGCACCCATACCACGTCAGTAAGGTGAAGCGGTCTGGGTGTCCATAGGGTCCCTTTAATGTCACTTAACCTTGATGGTGGTTATTGGCTGAGAGTGCTTTTGGTGGCTTATTCCAGTGCTCTCTGAGTATCATTTTATGTTCCCCAGAGAGAGAAAAATTAGGAGATTGAAAAACAATAAAGATGTTTAAGAGTTTGCAATTTTTATGAAAACCAATATCTATGCTGGATTTAAAGGAACACTCCATTGATAGTTTTGGTTTTACCTGCCACTTACTTTAGTTTTGTGGAGCTAATGGATACGGAAACAAATCTGATTGACAGCCAGTCTTATGGCATCACCCCCGATTCTAAAAGTGTTGATTTCTATTGAAATTTGAACTTTTACAAACTGTCACACAGGGCCAGCCTTAGGTGTTCAGGCGCCCTGTGAGAGCCAATCTTGTGGCGCCCCCCTCACCATCTTTGTTTGACCCCCTCTAGACAATTTCAGGCACATTCACAATCTGTTGCCTGTACCCCCTTCAACAAAACCCTGCCCCCTTCGTCAGGCCCCTGCCCCCCTTCTTCAGTCCCCTGTCCAGGGCTGCCATCAGAAATGTTGGGGCCCCTGACAAAGCTCATGGTCTGGGCCCTCAGAGCCCACCCACGAGTCCGTCCCTAAATCAGCCCACAAGGATGCAGTGTGTAGTCAACGCACAGTGTGTGTTTAGTGGATGCAGTGTGTGTAAAGTGGCCAAAATGTAGATCAGCATCTGTTGTACAAGTCCCAGAATGCATTGCTAGCTGTGGATCAATTCTTGCCGGGCTTTATTTAGCACTCAGCAGTGTATGTGTGTTTAAATGTAAGCATGTTATTGTATGGAGTATGTGTGTATGTGAATGTTGGTGTTTGAATGCAGGCGTGCATTTGTGTGTAGTGTATACACACACATACAGATACACACATTGACATACATGCATATGCACAGACACACAGAAACACACATTGACACATACTTACACACACACACACACACACTAAGGTGCACACTGATAGATAGAAACACACACACACAGATGCCAACTGACACAGATACATAAAGACACACAGATACACATACACGCACATACATATGAGATACAGACAGACACAGATACATGCAGACACACACGGATACACACATACACTCAGATGCATACATTGACACTCTGATACAAACAGACACACATATCTTGCACACCCCATCTGATATTTTATAATGTGCATGACCTATTTTCTTTACTCAAATGCACATTGACACATATACATACAGCTACACACACACACACAGATACACATAAAACCAAAATATAAATAAAATTAATTAAAAAAATATTAAAAAGTAGAGAAACAATAAAATAATCAAGTCTATGGGATTCACATCAAATAAAATTAACTTTAGTTGAGAATCTCTTAAAACAAAGATAGAGTGAGCGCTCCATCAATTAAACAAAAAAAACAAAAAAAAAGTAAAGAAAATAGGTCATGCACATTATAAAATATCAGATGGCGTGTGCAAGTTAGAAAGGTACACAACATGACCCTAATTGTTGCATTCTGTATGTAAAGATCAAAAAGCATTTAGCACCAAATAGAAAAGATTCACATTGCAACAAAGTTACAAACAGTAACAATCTGATCAAAACAGTTACATAGAGCCCAACTAAAAAAAAATGGGGCATATCAACTAAGTAGTGAAAAGGATTGTGGGAAAAAGTGTACATAAAAATCAAATACACAGTCACTAGAAAGCATGAACATAACAGCTGCAGCACTGCTATAAAATAATGAAATATAATTAAACAAAAGACTACAGGCCTGTGTAAAAAAACAATAACATATACAAACACACACACTGACAGATACACACAAACACTCTGGTACACATAGATACATACACACTGACAGATACACACAAACACTCTGGTACACATAGATACACACACACTGACAGATACACACAAACACTCTGGTACACATAGATACATACACACTGGTACACACAGATACATACACACTGACAGATACACACAAACACTCTGGTACACACAGATACATACACACTGACAGATACACACAAACACTCTGGTACACATAGATACACACACACTGACAGATACACACAAACACTCTGGTACACATAGATACATACACACTGGTACACACAGATACATACACACTGACAGATACACACAAACACTCTGGTACACACAGATACATACACACTGACAGATACACACAAACACTCTGGTACACACAGATACATACACACTGACACTTTTTTTTAAACCACCCTCCTGTTTCTTACCTTTTGGCTGCAGGAGGATTGACTCTGCTGGCTGGGACTGATGTGAGTCTGGCTCTCTCTCCTCCTCTCACTCCCCAGTGCTTCCTCCAGCGCGGGTGTTAGCTGGGAGTAAGTGAGCTCACTTCCTCCTAGAACTGCCAGAATCCTTAAAGGGGCCCAGTCTAGCTATTGGAAATCCACAGCACTTATCGGGCCCCTTTAGAGATATGCCCATCGGGTGCCCCTAAGTGCATGGACCACCCGATGGGCTCCCTCAGGTAGTTCTGCCACTGCCAAAACACATATATATAGCAATACTCGCTATATATATATGGGTGTGCACATTGGGAATAGGGGCCTTGGTGTCTGGGTGCCTGGGCCCCCCAGGACCATGGGGCCCATGACAGCAGTCATGGTTGTCACCACCTGATGGCGGCCCTGCCCCTGTCCCCCTTTATCACCAGCCCCCTGCCCCCTTGACCAACCTCCTGCCCCCCTTTATCACCAGCCCCCGGCCCCCCTTTATCACTAGCCCCCTGCCTCCTTCAATAAAAGGCACTCGTTATATATAACAAAAACAAAAAATGCAATAAGGACAAGCACCTACATAAAGGCTGCTGCTCCCTGGATCCAGCTGTCCATTTTTCCCACTACGCCGATTCGCCGACTGAAGAGCACCTGCCGCCCTCACACCCACTGAGCGGATCCTTCCCACGTCGCGCCCCCACCTTCCTCCTCCACGCTCCTCCTGCATTCCAATTCGGGACGGTTTGTGAGTGACCAACTGCGAACTGTGTCGGCCACCTGTCGCCCCTGTTGCCATGGTGCCCTGTGCGGCCGCACAGCTCGCACACCCCAAAGGCCAGCTCTGCTGTCACAAATATAACCGCCTACAGACACATAAAGGCCTTCGGCAAACTATAGTGTTTAATGTTTCTTTAATTTTACCATAATATAGACTGTCATCGTCCCTTTAAAAAATATGTTCCTTTTTAAGATCAGAGTTTCGTAACCACTCACCTTCACAGCTGGGTCAGACAGTCAATTTACAGAGGAACTTCTCCATTAAATGAAATAAGATTTTGGGAACTTCTGCCTCAAGTTGTTTTTTTAAGGCAACATTACCTTGCATGAGAGGTTCCTTTGATTCTTTATGTTCAGCAATTTCACAGGTCAGACTACGCAGCCAGTTCTCATTACATCCTGAGGACAGAATCCTCAAGACAACTTATTCTTCTAGTGTCTAGTGTCTAGCCCGTACAAAACCTGCCAAACCAAACACGATACTTCATTCCCAGGTCCAAATCAGATGCAACACGGTCACATTAAACACCTCTCCAATGCTGAGCCGCCCTGTACTTTACGTCTCCAACTTTAATATTACTTGAAACGAAATATTTATATTGACGCATACATAGCTCATGAAATAACATTTTTTACATAACTTATCCAGGTACAACATAACAGTAATTATCCTTTTATACACGTGTGACAGAACAAACAGAATTTCTTTCTCAAGTCTAAAGCATTTCTAAACAAAAAAAACGATGAATGCAAAGTTGAGTTGTGATACTGGGGTTAAAGCAACATGAGTATTAGACACAAGTCTGATATAGAAAAGACACCATTCTCACAGAGTGTCGTAAATATCTTTATAAGGATCACAGAGTGAGGGGAGAGAGAGCGGAAAATAAATAACAAACAGTGCAGGACATGGTACTAGATGGGGTAGAGAGAAAAAAAAAAAAACATAATTGCACAGATTAAGAAAGGATGAATTCACATCCAAGAATGCAGAATATGCATGAAGGCCTATATACAACCTACGAATACATATACATATATATTTATACAATATACATGTATACAAATACATATGACTAAATATGTACAAATGTGCACACATACATACATATGGCATTAACAAACATATATACATGTACAGATACATACCACAACCAGAGCAAGAGTTTTGACAAGCCTTTATGAATCTTGCTATGTAAAGATATGTAAATAAAGTTATTTTCATTCAATCTTTTGCCCTCTTTTATTACAGGCCTACCCGATACATCGGTTTCGGCACACCACAACCGACTTCCTCAGATATCTAACTAGTCGTAAGTACGGCTTTTTTCCCCGACTACAAATTAGAAGGCGGAGCCTGAAGTTGTGGGAGGGGGGTTACCTGGCTATTTAAACTCATGCCCCCTACACCACAGGACTGATGCCTCCGGGTTCATCCCTCGCACCTCTCCCCTTATACAATACTATTACCAGGTGAGCCCTCTTTTATTACAAGCCTACCCGATACGTCGGTTGCGGCACACCACAACTGAATTGCTCAGATATCTAACTAGTCATAAGTACGGCTTTTGTTCCCGACTACAAATATATATATATGTGTGTGAAAAAAACATTATTTTATGATATCCTTTGTCTTCTTCGCCTTCCAAGTGGTTCAGAATAATCTATGTAGAGGTACAAATGTCACTTTCAAATGCTACCGAAAGTTAGAAATAAAAGCAATATAAGAAATAGGCTACTTGTATTCAATGGTCAGATTTGCAGGGCCTATCCACCAGTTTTTGGTTGGAATTAATTTTACCAACTGCCAGAACACCCTTTATATAATAATACATTTTATTGTAGTTTTGATAATAATTAGAGCAGAGTGTTTTTCTAAGGCTGCAATAATGGGTCTAATGGATTGTTAAAGAACAGCTGGCTGTATTAAATAAACTCTGAAATGTCCTGTTTCCTTGTATAATTTGCTGGTTTTAGGATTCCTATGTTTAGTACGCACACAATTCACCATGGTGACTGTGACAGGCCAGGGACAGAACATGCATTGGACGTACGAGTCATTCCAGGAAACCCATGGAAACTCTGTGGCTGTGTTAATGGGAGGTAAGAATTTTCATTTTTTCCTATACATTAGGAATGTAACCACAAGAGGAAAGTTCTATACGTTGAATTTTCACAATGGAAACCAATGCAAAGTCCCTGCTGACTGCTCTACCTGGAAACTAACATAACAGCTAATGGATCTCTCTATAGATTCCGTAATCATCCATTCACTATAGACACCATAACTGTAACCTCCCTCCAAACCTAACCCTACCCCTAATGCCAAACTGAGCCTAATCCACCCATTAGCAGTGACATTCTAAATGTGAAAAACAGCCAGACCAAGTGTAAGGGCACCATAACCACTATATTGGTTATGATACCTTAATTGACCCTTAAAACGAAAACCATCACTTGTCAGGAAATGTTGAAATCACCTATAACTTCTATTAAACTTTTTATGTGATACTTTGATTTCGTATAAATTTATAATAAATATTTATCAAATGACATCACTATCCAGTTCAGTGCTGGCACAAGCACGGCACGGCACACAGTGGACTGGACAAGGAGAAACGGAAACATAGGAGGAGATTTATCAAAGTGCTCTGTTCTGAAAAGTGAGTGGTGCCAAACAGGGCCGGACTGGGAACTAAAAGCAGCTCTGGAAAAAATTCTATACCAGCCCAATAAGAAGTCGCGCCAGCATAGTGAGCTGATATAGAGGTGGAAAAGATAACTTAAAATTGAAAACTATTAATGCAATGAAAGAAAGCACTCAGAGGGCTTCAAAATAAAGGAAAAAAGTGGCTTTATTTTAAGCAGAGCTACATTTGCATATAATCAATGTTTCAATCCACCTACCTTCACATATTAAGGAAATTTGGGTAATTGAATGAAATGGTGAATGTATGCAACTATAAAAAAAATGATCTTGTTTATTTTGAAGTCCTATAAGTGTACTCTTCACTTTGAATGTATATTAAAATAAGTAAATATTATAGGCAGAATTATATATATATATTACCAATACACACATTAATATACATGCATATATGTGTGTGTGTGTATTACTGTCAGAATCATATCGGTTATGTCTATCTGTACATTGTGTTAGCAACACTGCTAGCAAAACGGGTATCTTGGAATGAAATCTATTTAATAAGAGGTCTTTCTCTCACCTGTCAATTAGCTCTAAATTCCTTTAGCATAAACTCCTGTGCTGAAGAGCTGAGTTACAGGGAGAGCAGGAGACACAGGCGAAAATGCATCCCCCCACCTCCCCCAAACACCCCCAAAAGAAAGACATATTCTCTTGTGTTTCTCTTAACCGCCTTTTGAATTTCTTGCTGGGGTTTTTTGTGTTTCTCATTTTCTCCTTTGATCTTTTTTTTCCCTAGTTTAATGTATCTTGTCTCAATTTTTTCCTCCCCTTTGTCTCTTTCTTTCCCTCTGTCTGTCTCCCCCCTCTGTCTTTCTCCCCTCTCCCCCCTCTGTCTCGTTTTCCCCCCTCTGTCTCGTTCTCCCCTTCTGTCTCTTTCTCCCACTGTCTCTTTTTCCCCTTTCAGATGTGTCTCCCTCCTACCACTGTCTCTCCCCCCCCCCATCTCTTTCTTCCCTCTACCCTGTGTCTATTTCTTCACCACCCCCTGGCGCTGACCTGCTTGTCTGACAGTCTGTCAGAAAGCACAGGAGGGCTGACTATCATGCGCTCTCGTGGTTCCTGCAATTTCCAGTATGGGCACATCATAGAGTAGTAGCATGATAGTCAGATCTGCTCCCTCCCTCAGTCCTCTTGTGCTTTCTGACCGCTGCTGCTCTCACTATTAAAGAGTGTGCCACTGGACTGGCTAGGCAGCCACTCGCCCCGGCGGCACCACCATGATATGCGGCCGGCCCCCTATGTGTGCCCCCAGACCGGCAGCACCTACATGCGGCCGGCGGAAGCGATATTACTAAAAACGGCCGCAGGGCTCCCTCAGTCCCTCTCTACGTGAGAGAAGAATTAGAGTGCCGCACAACCTCAGGTGCCGCAACCCACCGGGAAATTCCAGGGTATCCCCGTGGGCCATTCCAGCCCTGGTGCCAAAATGTAAAAGGGTAGGAGTCACCAGTGGAATGTGCCTATTGGGGTCATTGGTTTCTATGGTGATTGACCCACTTTAGAACACTTTTAGAACAGAATACTTTGATTAATGTCCCCCAACGTTTAATTTCTCCTCTTCTCTCTATGCAGACTGCCAAGTGCAAAGGACAGAGCTTATAACAACGACTGACAGTAGGCTGAGACAGAAGTGCCTGGGATAAAGAAGACAAGATTAAAGATAGGATAAAGAGGTGTGGAATCCTACATTTAATTATATTTTTCACATCTCACAGATACACAATTGTAATGTAAAATGTAACATGTCTTTTTTTTTAATTCCCCATTTCAAAGGAGAGTTACTCTAACCCTTTTTAACAAAAAGTCTATTTTTTATTTATTTATCTATTTATCTTTATTCCATACTAGGTAATTCATTAGCACCACCCCCCACCCCCCTCTCTCATAGAGAAGCATGCTATGAACCAGGAAGGGGACAGATCGAGGAAAAATCTAATCGGAAGAAGGGGACACTGAAGCTCATTACGTCTATTTACAGCATGCTGACGACAGACGTAATATCTGCACAGACTTGACAACATGCAGCCCAGAGTTCTGTCAGGGGTGTAACTAGCTCCCGGCACAAAAGTGCAGATAATTCTGTGTATGTACAGCATTTCAGGTAGGAACACTGCACATACAGGATCCTACGATGATGACTACTTTTAAAAGCAGAAGTGGTCATGTTGGTTGGAGTAACCCTTTAATGAAGAACTCACATACGCACTTTACAATCTTTATGTTCTTCAGTATTCATGTATAGCAGTTATATGTAAGACAGTACCCTTGTTAATTTATTGGTAAGTGACAATGTTCTGCAGAACTTGTCGAACATTCCCATCTAGTTTGCTGCTTCGCTCAGTACGGATTATTTCACGGTTTTCTGTAAGCGTCTATCTTCCAGCAGATCTCTGCTCCATTCCCCAATGTGCTCTTTCATCCCGGTTGGATATGACGTAATTATAAAGAAAAATAGGGTCGGTCTGTGAAATGATCCCTGTTAAATCAAACCCTGGCTTTGTACAGGGAACATAATACAGTGAGAGATACAAACAGGGCTCCTTTAACCCTCACTCCAGGATCACATTCTGATTATTAAATGTCTCGTGCTTGCTTTTAAAGAGAAGCGGGCACCAGATTTTCAGGAACAGTCATTAAAACTGCACATGGGTCTACAGAATACAAGGCTTTGGTACAGACTGTGTTACCACCGCTGGGATTCAAAGACTCGAGAGAGGGCTACATGAAAAGGACAATACTAATCACCATGCAATGTGTTCAGACACAAGAGACTCCTAACATGAAAGTGATCCCAGCTCCTGCAGGGGTGGGACTGACCTCTGAAAGGTCAGGCACATCAATCTGCCCCAAAGAAGCTCTTGCCGCCGTGAATAGGTCATCTATCATAAAAGTCCTTTTTCTGTCTGATACTGCAATCCACATTTATTCCTTTTCAAATTTTTTTTTTTTTAAAGATTTAAAAAGTTTTACAACAAAATGAACAATCAATATGAGATAAGTAAAATAGTGATACAACAAATTTATTATTCCTATAATGTAGATCTGGGTCCTTCTGAAAACCCATTTAAAGATAAACTTTCCACAATTATTATAAAGTATAAGGAACAATAGGCCACGATAATCATGTTACTACAGGTAGTATCAAGAGTAGTAGATTCCTGGCACTGCCTTCCAACTGAAGTGTTAAAGAAAACTAAAAAATACAATGTAGAAGCGTCCAAAAGGAAGGTCCATGCACACATATCTCACTCTCCAGATGTGCGTGTGGACCAACACACACACATATCTCCTCCTTTGGCCAACAATGCCTGCCATATAGAGCTCTGTGTGAGTTTACCCTAAAGAACAAATATGTATCATGAGCCTGGGATTTTATAATGGACTGCATAGATATCGATTGAAAAAATAAACCAATACATGATTATTTCCTAAAGTGCAAATTGGTCAACAAAGGTCAAAGTAGCCAAAACTCACAAAATTCTCCAAGTCAACTGTTCCCAGTTTAAATTTAGTAAATAACCCTATACAATAAAAAAAAAAAAAGGTGTTTAACATGATGCACTGGTGTTAAACATATTTTTTATGAACAAACACAGCAGACAAACACTTTGGGAGACATGCTCTAAAAAAAAAAATTCACCATAATATTTGAAGGACACCCCCCCATTCACCGGAAAAATGCTTCTTTTTTCCATGAACAGAATTAAAGATACAACTCTTTTTTTTATCTGCCTCTAAGATCAATGTCTATACAGATCAGAGGTCTTAGCATGCCCCCTACTGGCTATGCTATGGAAGGACAGAACAGTGTAAATCCCCCCATGCGACTTTATACATTTTTATTAAATGTATCTGTCTTATTTATTGGACTGTTCTGAGCTTCGTTTGTTAGCGGCTGGAGCTCATTGCAACATCTGCAACCAGGACTTTCTGAATAAAATCAATGGTAAAACTAATTAAACTGAAATGATAATATGTTTATATTTCACTTTAATGGTTAAAGACCTTGTTTAAAAAAAAAAAAAAAACCACAACTCATGTGAACCATGGCTGCCAGAGGCGTAAGCCACAACCTGACTTTCTGAGTTGTATTTAGCTATTAACCTCTGCTCCCATACCTCCGCAACTACTTAAGCCTTTCAGTTTTCCCCCAAGCTAAAACATATGTAACAGCGACAATTAAGGAAATCCATTAAGCTGACACTCCAGGATATGACCGACAACCGCTTCCGTTTTAATTCCTTACTTACATAATTAATACAATATATACACACATTAACCCCTCATGTTTCACTCGCGAAAGTTTTCTTCTCTTAGAAAATCCAGTCCTGAGCCTATTTCATAAAATCTATTAGTAATTAGTGCCAACGTTCTGGCACAGAGCAGCCATTAAAGGTTTACTCTAAGTCACTTAAGTGATTTGAAGTGGTCATGGTGCTTGGAGTATTTAATGACACTGCTGGATGTGTGTAACTTAGCGCCGTTAGCCAGAACAAGAAGACTGGTTAATGTTAATTATGCCCATATTCTATGCAGAGTAAGATTTATTGGTGAGAGTGGTCAGCTGACACTCTGTCAGTGGATTAGCAGTAGGATATACATTTCAGGTGGCTGAGCGCTCATTGGGGAGCTGGGTAAGAAGGCGAACCTTTGCAAAACGCAAGGTTTGCCCCATTGCCTGCGAATGTCACCAGAGTACTTCTGGCATCATAACCACTACAGCCGTCAGTGATTATTATTATTTATATAGCGCCAGCAAATTCCATTGCGTTGTACAATTATGATGATTGTAATAACATTTTTAAAGACAACTGTCGTCAAATGTTCGTATCTAAAAAAAAATTATTTTTTTTAAAGTTTAACATTTTATGAAACTTTTTTAATAATGTATACTGATTTTTCTTTTAGAAAATGTTACTTTTTCTTTTTTTCTGTCTGAGCAGTCTTGTTGAGTCAGATTATACTCACACTAGGCTTGCTAGTTCCGCATGAATGATGCTCTATAAAATTTGGAACGTATGTGCTACAACCTGTACGTAACTAAATAAAATCACCAGCCACCATCAGAGTGAAATCAGGGTTTAAATTATCAAGCAGCCCACTAGTTCCGTAATCCGTATAATACTCGGCCTAAACGTCTAGCAAGCAGGGAGCTCTGATTTCACTTCATCAAAGGGAACCATCAGGACTAGTGTGGGGTTCATTACCAGATACCAGTGCGCCACTTTTCGTGTGTAATCAGACTTTGACTCTGACGTTTCTGGACTTCCTATTTTATGCTTAGTAGCATACCGTGTGTTTTAATGTTTCCTCACTTCCCACTTCTTTTTGTTGACTGATTGCGCACTGTATTGTGCTCCCCAAGTGCTGTATACCGTTAATATACGTGTCTCATGTTGGTTTGCACAGTGTAAATAATAATTGCCATACTCATGTAATTCTACATTTATTTTGTTGCTTTTTAACTTTAATTTTTTATATAATAAAGATTTTTTTAGGTAACCCGTTGCAAATATTTGTAAAAGATGAAGTGCTGCAAATTTCTACAAATGTGAGTATTTTGCAAGTTTCCATAGTGATTGCTCCACTTTCAGAATTCCGATCCACATTTTCTGCTAGCAGCATTTTTTGCTTCCAAAAACATCCTCCACCTCTTGCCGTTTTGTCCATCTCTAGCTGTCCCTGATTAAGCATTCTGACGAGCATGCAGTGTCCTGGACGAGAGGGGAAATAGACAGTATAATGAACTGGGGCGGAAATCATGATTCCTTACTGGGAGAGTTTTAATGAAGTGAAAAAGCAAGTCACTGGAAATTTGTGTCGGAATTACAGACTATAAAAACCTTTCTCTGTAACGCCTTAGCTTATCAGAACTTAGAACTGCGTCGGAGACATTAATACTGTCTGGAAAAAGACACCCACGTTCTGCAACCAACATAAAGATAGAAACAAATCAGAATTAATGATTCCCAAACTTAGCGAACACCCCCTTCTTTATATCGAACGTCACACGTACATTAATAAAAATCTTCGATCTGTTTAGTGTTAAATTCTTTATTACGCCCTTTTTATTATATAAGGTAATATTGAATATAATATTAAACAGACTGAGTCTTTATATGGCTTTTGGTTTTAATCCTAATTGATGTGTCGTGAGGCACTGACATTGTGAGAAAATTAACTGGTAGCAATCTGGAATCTAGAAAAAGACAGAAAGCATATAGAATGATTTGTTTAGTTTTTCACATTTATAGCCAACTGGTTGAATTCACAAACTGAATGTTCTCTATATGAAATCTACTGCTTTATATTCCATTGCCACAAGCATAGTGGACCATATAATAAAAAAGTGGAATAGCACCATCTCATGGACAATACCTTTCACTACAGCTTGGGCTGGCCTGGTTTCCTCTTCAGAGACATTTTGTCAAATAGTTATGTATATTTTAGAAAAAGTGCTCTTTTTTTTATTGCACGGGGACTCTAAGAGATTTATTGCATGCCCATACATATTTACTGAACCTGATTCATTTTAATAGACTTGGAAAAGATTAAATACTCTGTTGTTGAGAGCCTGTAAGGCCTGCGGCCCAGAGGTTGGAAGAGGATTCAGAGTTCATATATCTGATCTAACTGAGCTAGTTCATGTAAACAGAGACAGCCATCAGAGACTCCAGCTGCGACTTATTTGCAAACCAGTTTAGTGAATGGGGAGTCACTGATTAGCTGAGAGTGTCAGCTAACCACACTCTACCATTCAGGGGGGGGGAGCTGTAATCGCTGTTGGAGGCAACTTCCGGGTTAAACTGTTCGAGAATGGTTTAACTCCTGCAGGTAAGAGTGTGCTAGGGGGACCCTTGGCACATCATTTATATAAAGTTATTTTGGTGCCTGGAGTGTCCCTTTAAGCTGTAATTTTGTGTCTATAGTGACCTTTTAAATCCTAAACTCCTAAAATGGTGGTGATTATATAATTCACAATAATTAATTTACATTGTGTTAGGAGATGTTAAATCCTCCAGCAGGCCGGCACGTCCTATAGGTTAAGTAAGCGGCCACCTAGGGTGCTTCTTACAGAGGGGCACAAGCAGTGGCTTTATTGCTTGTTTGCCAAAACCCCCTAACAAGTTGAATTGATTTTATAGAGCAGGCTGCTGCGGCGGCGGTATCACCAGGCGCTAGTGAGCACTTACTTGTAGACTACCACCCCGTAGAATGTCGGTCCGACACTCACCACAGCCTGCAAAGTCCGGACCCGTCTCCCAGCCAAGCACCGCGGCAGTGCAAGGGCACGTCACTCGCCCCCGACCTTGTACGTGGGGACAAGTGGCCGGGAGAATAACAACAGGATATAGGGCTGGGAAAAAGTGTTGGGCGCCAGGCGCTAAAGCAGACAGGAACGAAAAGCAAAGTGCAATGCAGGTAAGAGAGAGCTTGCAGTGTGTGTTGCAGAGAATGTGTGTCAGTCAGTATGTTTGTGTATGTCAGTCTGCACATGGGTCTGTGTGTGTGTGTGGGGGGTCAGCATAAGTGTATTGGTCAGTTTAGGCAAATCTGCATGAGTGGGTGAAACGAATGGGACGACAAAAATCCTTGCACTAGCCATGCTCTCCAGCATCAACAGTGCGGGTATTACGTAAGATTCATTGACTTTACATTTCAATAACACCCATCGCCACCGACTGCCTACACCCAACTCCCCCTCTCCTATCCAATCGGAGCTGCCTGAGAAATCATCTGTAAGCATCAAATCGCTTCCTCTATAATGCTAGCAGAATAGAGATACACATGTTCCAAATATATCTAGCAATGTGGGAGACAAACTTGCTGTAGTTGCTGTGACAAAGCGCAGGGGAACTGCATATACAGTTTTCTATGTGGACAATTGATTGACAGATGAAAACATACTTTTTACACTAAAGAGAAGACCCTACATTTAAGAAAGATGTTACATACTGCTTCACCATGATGTTTATTCACAAAACTCTGAATTGAAATATCCTGAAATAGAACTGAAAAAGAAAAAAAAAAAGCTTACTGGAAGGAATTCTCTGCTACAGTCACAGCTCTATTATAGCAATTTAGTTTTCAATTCAAGTTACTTTCTGATGAATAAAAGTTATGAGTCATAAAATGTTCAGAATAAATGTCAGGTTTAAAGGAATACATTTACAAGATTATAGTAAGAAACGTGGATAATGACAAAAATTAAGAAAATGTCTTTATAATTCTAATTCAAACCTGTATATAAACAAACTGTTTCCGTTCCTTGAATTCTGTTTTGTTTGTAATATATAAAAAGGTGATCACAACGTAACATCTGGCTCCTGCACTCAGACATCAAAATCTCTGGTTTTCAAGAGGATTGTGGTTTGGAACCAGTGTCCAGAGCCTGGTCTATATGGTCACCGGTAGCTCTCGGTCAATACTATCATTCTGTCTCGGAGCAGATCGTTCAGTCCAATGTCCTTCTACTGCGATGTGGACCTTTTATTTGTTAGCCACTGCAGACAGCTGGTCTCGTATCCTGCCCAAGCCTTCCAGCATGGTGTCCAGTGTCTCTTTGCTGAGCTCCATGGTCAGTGTGGAAGTGGCTGGATTGAGCCCGCACAGCTCTGCATCCTCCTGAATCTGGAAAATTAGCCATAAAGCCACAGCGTTCGTAATTGGTATCAGATTTACATCATATTCCAGAATGAGATAAGAGCAACGCAAGACGTATAACAGAGAACGTGTAATTTGTATTTTTCATTTTGTAAAAATAGTTTTCCATGATAATAAAATTTTTTTTTGATAAATCAGCAGACTGTACAGCTTTCAGTAGAAAGTCGATATCCAAACTATAATTACCGCAATCCTATGCTGAGTGCTGCCATGTGATATGCTCTGCGTTAGTACTGGTACTGCCTGAAACACTTATTGGTTTACTTCATAAGCTGGAAATTATGGATATTTGCTGCAAATACATGTACACCAACAATTAGCATTTTTTTAAATTATATATAATATATATGTCTGCATGTGTAAGTGTATTATCTACACATTATATTAAACAAGTTAAAGTCTATTTGAGTGGTGGGTGTCACTTTAAAGGGAAAACTTATTTTTTATTATGATTTTTTTAAATGAAATAAGATTACATATTATTACGTAATGCAACCATATAGGCAAATACTTTTCTTCAGGTCATCTCCTGGATTACCCTTGATCCTCTTTGGTCAATGAAAACAACAAACAAACACAAAACAGCACAACACTTCCCCCCCCACCACCACTCCATATCCCCCAAAATAAGCACACACATACATACACACACACAAAAAGACACACCATTAAGACTTGGCCTACATTGCATTAAACTACATCTCTGACTCATCTTTTACATATACAACCGCCGTCAATGGCACAGTTGCTTACTTTCATTTGTAACAGGCAGGTGGGAATTGCCATTCGCATAACCGAGTCTGATGAGGTCTTTATGTCCACTCTCCATTTCAGATCAACAAGACGAGGTAAGGAGACTGCAGAACAATAGAGAGATTGGCTCAATGAATTCCATGAATATGAACGAAGGGACAGGACAGGAGGAATGGGGATGTCAAAAAACTATGCAAGACTTATTAGTGGGAAGAACAGGATCTGTAGCTTTTCTTACAGGTACACGTTAAGCACCAAAACAACTTTAGCTTAAAGTCATTTTGGTGTGTAAATCATGCCCCTGCAGTCTCACTGCAAAATTCTCTGCTACTTAGGAGTTATATCACTTTTGTTATTCCTGGCTGTGACTCACACAGCCTCCATGACAAAAATGGGGTATATTCAGTGTTTTTTAGTGGCCACTTAGTCACTGGCCAAAGTTAGCGTTCATAATTGTTTTTTGCATTTTTAATACACAAACAGATATAAATGCTAACTTTGACCAATAAAAAACAGTAAAAGGCTGCGCCACAATAAATAATAAAAAATATATAGAAAATAGTCCAATAGAAAGTCCAAAAAAGGGAGAAGATCCCAATATTTATCCTTACAGGTAGTCTTTGGTGGTAAGGTCTTCTACTGATATGGTGGATCCACTTGGTATGAAAGATAAAAAGAGAGAGGGACAACCAATGGTGCAGTATGTAAAATTCAAATGTGAATATAAAAGAGTAATAGTATAAAACTCACATTTACCAAAGCTAATATCCAGCTCTGGAGTAAGGCGCCTACAGCGGTTTAAATCCCCGCTTATGGGATATAAATGGGTTTCTCTCCGTCGTTGGTGTCCAATTCTCGGAATAAAAGAGACAACTAATAGTGCTCACTGTATAGTATTGTTGGTAAAATAATAAAAGAATGTACTTACAAGGTAAGAGCAGGCCAACTGCTCTATGATGATAGCTTGGGTGGATTGATCCCCACCTAAGGATTTCTTTAAGTACAGGAAACTTCCAGGGATATTATCCAATGGTTTATAAAACCAATAAAAATAATACTAAAAAGCCAGGGTAAAAGGAAAAGTTATGTGTCTTTAAAAAAGTTGATTGGCACAAATAAATGACCAAAAATACTTTAATATAATAAAAGAACACAAATATTAAATATCCATAACGCGTTTCGTCAAAAAAAAAGACTTTTTCAAATGGATTTACATATGATACCTGGCTAATAGATGTTTTCTAAGGATAAAACTAATTTGAATTTGGCGCCAAAAATGGTACAACCAATCAGCGTTAAAAACAAAATTAAAACATTAAATTGCATAAATAACTCAATAAATGTATAAATAATAATACTATAACATGATATTAAATTGTTTGGATCAAAAACGAAGGTGTTAAATTGTGTTTTTAAACATTAATAAAAAGTCACATGTCCAAACAGCACTTCCACTTTTCGGAAGTAAAACACAATGCCACATGGGAAATGTAGTCAAAATGGCCGCAAAAAGAGGCCGCATGTAACAGTAAAATAAGCAGATGATTGCATAATTATAGCCTTCACAGAGTGTTGGATGGAATTAGAAATTAAAAATGAAGGGGAGCAATAGATTTAAAGCTAATCAGAATTGGTCACATGGTTTTTCGGCACTTCCGCAAATCGGAAGATATAGCCGCAATGCATGTAGGGAGATGTAGTTTAACCCACAATAACAGGAACAAGTACAGCAGATAAATGTACTTGCAGGGAAAAGACAGTTTACAATTGTAAATACATGAGCTTAGGAGCATAGAAAAGTAAAACAATGATAAAAAATTACATTATTCATCAGTAACAATAAAAGCATAATTATTTAAAGGTACAGGCAGCAACATTTTTTTTAAAAATTATAAAAAATTATAAAAAGTTATGTAAATCAAAGTCTGCATTAAGACCATGGGGTATAAGAGTCTGAAGTTTATACAACCATTCCATCTCTGTTTTTCCAAGCATCTTTTTTATGTCACCTCCACGCCAGGAGGTAGAGCATTTGGTTATACCAATACATTTTAATAGGCGTGGATCTCTGTTATGCATAATAAAATGTTTGGATACTGTATGATTCAGGTATCCATTTTTGATATTTGAACATTGCAGAAATATCAAAAATGGATACCTGAATCATACAGTATCCAAACATTTTATTATGCATAACAGAGATCCACGCCTATTAAAATGTATTGGTATAACCAAATGCTCTACCTCCTGGCGTGGAGGTGACATAAAAAAGATGCTTGGAAAAACAGAGATGGAATGGTTGTATAAACTTCAGACTCTTATACCCCATGGTCTTAATGCAGACTTTGATTTACATAACTTTTTATAATTTTTTATAATTTTTAAAAAAAATGTTGCTGCCTGTACCTTTAAATAATTATGCTTTTATTGTTACTGATGAATAATGTAATTTTTTATCATTGTTTTACTTTTCTATGCTCCTAAGCTCATGTATTTACAATTGTAAACTGTCTTTTCCCTGCAAGTACATTTATCTGCTGTACTTGTTCCTGTTATTGTGGGTTAAACTACATCTCCCTACATGCATTGCGGCTATATCTTCCGATTTGCGGAAGTGCCGAAAAACCATGTGACCAATTCTGATTAGCTTTAAATCTATTGCTCCCCTTCGTTTTTAATTTCTAATTCCATCCAACACTCTGTGAAGGCTATAATTATGCAATCATCTGCTTATTTTACTGTTACATGCGGCCGCTTTTTGCGGCCATTTTGACTACATTTCCCATGTGGCATTGTGTTTTACTTCCGAAAAGCGGAAGTGCTGTTTGGACATGTGACTTTTTATTAATGTTTAAAAACACAATTTAACACCTTCGTTTTTGATCCAAACAATTTAATATCATGTTATAGTATTATTTATACATTTATTGAGTTATTTATGCAATTTAATGTTTTAATTTTGTTTTTAACTCTGATTGGTTGTACCATTTTTGGCGCCAAATTCAAATTAGTTTTATCCTTATAAAACATCTATTAGCCAGGTATCATATGTAAATCCATTTGAAAAAGTCTTTTTTTTGACGAAACGCGTTATGGATATTTAATATTTGTGTTCTTTTATTATATTAAAGTATTTTTGGTCATTTATTTGTGCCAACTTTTTTAAAGACACATAACTTTTCCTTTTACCCTGGCTTTTTAGTATTTTTATTGGTTTTATAAACCATTGGATAATATCCCTGGAAGTTTCCTGTACTTAAAGAAATCCTTAGGTGGGGATCAATCCACCCAAGCTATCATCATAGAGCAGTTGGCCTGCTCTTACCTTGTAAGTACATTCTTTTATTATTTTACCAACAATACTATACAGTGAGCACTATTAGTTGTCTCTTTTATTCCGAGAATTGGACACCAACGACGGAGAGAAACCCATTTATATCCCATAAGCGGGGATTTAAACCGCTGTAGGCACCTTACTCCAGAGCTGGATATTAGCTCTGGTAAATGTGAGTTTTATACTATTACTCTTTTATATTCACATTTGAATTTTACATACTGCACCATTGGTTGTCCCTCTCTCTTTTTATCTTTCATACCAAGTGGATCCACCATATCAGTAGAAGACCTTACCACCAAAGACTACCTGTAAGGATAAATATTGGGATCTTCTCCCTTTTTTGGACTTTCTATTGGACTATTTTCTATATATTTTTTTATTATTTATTGTGGCGCAGCCTTTTACTGTTTTTTATTTACCTTATTTCAAAGGGTTTGAGGGATCCCCTTTTAAGGTTGCTGCCTATAAGTTAACCAAGCGCTGTCTCACTCTTTTATTTTTATTATAACTTTGGCCAATGTTTGTGACATTAGTGGCCACTAAAAAAAATAAAGACTGGACATACCCCATATTGAATACCCTGGGTTGTCTACTTTAAAAAAAATTATGTACATGTGCGGTGTGATTCAGAGATTTATGACAGATAAGAGTGTTACAATGTTACTATAAGCAGTAGACAGAGGGAAGTGCTCATGCCATTGTACAAAACACTGGCGAGACCTCACTTGGAGTATTGTACGCAGTACTGGAGACCGTATCTTCAGAAGGATATTGATACCTTAGAGAGAGTTCAGAGAAGGGTTACTAAACTGGTTCATGGATTGCAGGATAAAACTTACCAGGAAAGGTTAAAGGAACTTAACATGTATAGCTTGGAGGAAAGACAAGAGAGGGGGGATATGATAGAAACATTTAAATACATAACAGGAATCAACACAGTAAAGGAGAAGACTGTATTTAAAAGAAGAAAAAACTACCACAACAAGAGTACATAGTCTTAACTTAGAGGGGCAAAGGTTTAAAAAGAATATCAGGAAGTATTACTTTACTGAGAGGGTAGTGGATGCATGGAATAGTCTTCCAGCATGCAGGACTAATGAAAGTATTTAGAAAATTGGGCAGACTAGATGGACCGAATGGTTCTTATCTGCCTTCACATTCTATGATTCTATTGATACATTTTAAAAATATATATTTTGAAACAGTGTACTTGTACTTATAGCCCTATAACTTGCAAAAAAATAAAAAATCTAAAAGCTAAGAACATGTTAACATTGGGTATTTCTAAACTCAGGACAAAATTTTGAAACATTTAGCGTGGGTGTTTTTTGGCGATTGTAGATGCGTAAGATTTTGGGGGTCAAAGTTAGAAAAAGTGTGTTTTTAAAAAAAAAAATATATATATATTTTATTTATTTTTTTTACAGTAAATTATAGGATATGATGAAAATAATGGTATCTTTAGAAATACCATTTAATGGCGAGAAAAACAGTCTGGTCACTAAGGGGTTAACCATTAGATCTCGCTTTACAGGAAATGTGTAGAGATACTGTGTGAGAGTCGCATGCAATTGTGGCTAGGGTTGCATAAATAAAGTGATTTAACCCCTTAAGGACGGAGCCAAATATACACGTTGTGAACAAAACAAAATGTAAACAAAACCTGGCATTTGCGCTACATGTCTGTCCAACCGTAATTCACCTCTTTCATATTAAATGCACCCACCCTTATTATATATCATTTTATTCAGGGGAAACAGAGCTTTCATTTCATATCAAATGTTTAGCTATGAAACATAATTTAATATGATAAAAATGGGAGAAAATACAATTTTTTTTATTTTTTTAGTTCTACGTGACATTTTAAAGGTCAATGTCATAATACTGTTTGCTTTTACTGCAATAAAATACACATATTTGTATTCAGTAAAGTCTCACGTGTAAGACAGTACCCTCTATGTACAGGTTTTAAGGCGTTTTGGGAAGTTACAGGGTCAAATATAGCACGTTACATTTGAAATTGAAATTCGCCAGATTGGTTACGTTGCCTTTGAGGCTGTATAGTAGCCCGGGAATGAAATTTACACCCATAATGGCATACCATTTGCAATAGTAGACAACCCAAGGTATTGCAAATGGGGTATGTCCAGTCTTTTTTAGTAGCCATTTGGTCACAAACACTGGCCAAAGTTAGCGTTAGTATTTGTTTGTGTGTGAAAAATGCAAAAAACGCCAATTTTGGCCAGTGTTTGTGACTAAGTGGCTACTAAAAAAGACTGGACATACCCCATTTGCAATACCTTGGGTTGTCTACTATTGCAAATGGTATGCCATCATAGGGGTAATTTTCATTCTTGGGCTACCATAGGGTCTCAAAGGCAACGTAACCAATCTGGCGAATTTTAATGTGAAAAAAAAAACGCAAGCCTTATATTTGACGCTGTAACTTTTGAAAACACCATAAAACCTGTACATGAGGGGTACTGTTGTACTCGGGAGACTTCGCTGAACACAAATATTTGTGTTTCAAAACAGTAAAAAGTATCACAGCAATAATATTGTCCGTGTAATGCTGTTTGTGCGTGAAAAATGCAAAAAACGTCACTTTTACTGGCGATATCATCGTTGTAATACATTTTACTGTTTTGAAACACTAATATTTGTGTTCAGCGAAGTCTCCCGAGTAGAACAGTACCCACCATGTACAGGTTTTATGGTGTCTTGGAAAGTTATAGGGTTAAATATAGTGCTAGCAAATTAAATTCCCTTTACTTTCGGCATGGGTTGTCAGGCAGGTCCTGCTAATTGTAATTAATTAAGATACCTAATTATGTTAAAATATTACATAAATATATATGTAGAATTAATATATGTATATATATACGTATATGTATATATATATGTATATATCTATATAATTTTTTTAAAATATTTTTATTTATATATAGGTATATATATAGTGATATATACGTATATATTTATGTATATTGATATATATATGATTTCGTTCTATGTGTATTTTGAGATATATATATTAATTTACAATACAGTTAGAACGAAATAACACACATCTATATATTTTTTAATTATTTATTTTTAATTATTTTCTTAATTTTATTTTTTAACATATTTCCATTTTTATTTTTTTATATTATATATAAATATATATATATATATATATATATATATATATATATATAACAATAATTATATACATATTTAATCAGTATCAGTCTACGTGTAATTTGATATTAATATATATATAATTATATATATATTAATAGTAAAATACACCTAGACGGTGTACGTGTGTGTATGTATATGTGTATATATATACTTAAATCATATATATATATAATATATATTATTTTTTTTTTACACTATTTATTTATTTTATTTTTATTTTCAGCCAGCAGGGGGACCACCTGTCATTACAGGCAGTAAGTACCGAAAGACCGGAGGGCGTACTATTACGCCCGGCGGCGTTTAGAGCCGCTTAGAATAGGGCGTAATCGTACGCCCTCCGGTCTTAAGGGGTTAAAGGGACACTATAGTCACCTGAACAACATCTTAATGAGGTTGTTGAAGTGAGCTCTATAGCTCCCTGCAGTCTCTCTCATGTAAACACTGTATTTTCTGAGCAAATACAGTGTTTACATTGAAAGCTAGGAACACCTCCAGTTGCCGTCACTCAGATTGCCACCAGAGGGATTTCCGAGTTGATTGAGGCATAAAACTCCTCAATCCACTCAGATCTGCTGTCAGCAGACAGAGGGCACAATCATTCTGTCTGCAAGCTGTCACGTGGGATTAAGAGCTGACAGGATGAAGAGGAGACCGAGCAGGAGGGGGGGATTCAAATTATAAGTAAACTTATTGGGGGAAGAGGGAGAGAGAGAGATGGATTGATGGATGGATAGTTAGGGATGGATGAATGGATTCAATGCCGCTCTATGAAGAACGCGATTGGTGCAGCGCGAAGCTGCGTAAGCACACCACGTCGCGATGACGCTTCTCAAAGAGAAGCGTCCTATTGGGCCCTGCGATTTCGGCATTTTGATGAAAAACGGGGCGTGGCCTGGCGGGAAGCTCGGCGCTGGAACAGATGTAAGTTTTATTATTAAAAAGTGCTCAGATTTTTTTTTTTTTTTTTTTAAACGGCAAGTTCATTTAAAAGCAAGAAAGAAGGCTGGGAGACCTGTCTTTCTTGCTTTTATATGTTGACTATAGTGTCCCTTTAACTCCTAAATGGCAGAGAATTGAGCAGTGATACTGCACGGTTATGACCTATACACCAAAACCACTGCACTAAGGTAAGAAAATTTGTTATGACAACAGATGACAATGCCTGGTACTCACTATTATTGTTCTGTGCATTATTCCTCCATGCAGATCTGTAGAGAAAGCACACAAAATAAATTAACTACAAGTTTTTAAGCACTAATTAAAATAATAAAATAATGAAATCATCATCATCCTCCAACATTGAATAACATATAAAAATAGAGAATTATTCAATAGACAGGGAATTTTAATAAATTGCACATTTTAATTTAGGCAAAAATTGCAAAGTAAGATTTTACTTCCAAATTTACGAATTTTGAACATTTACATTTGTTTGGTCAATCCACCCCAAGCTAGCGATGGTCAGTGTTGGCAGTACAGATGTTTACAGACAGGGCCAGACTGGGGAAAAAATTTGGCCCGGGCATTTTTTTTTTAATCACAGCAGCCCACTAAGAAGGGGTAGGGGCAAGAGGGTGTGTTTTGTCATCACTAATGACAAGCACGCCCCCTCTCAAAGTGAGCATGTTGGTTCAATGCGCAGAGCCCCTCTGAAGAGTTCTAGCATGAGGAAAAAAGCCCTGTATTTGTTCTGTACAGCCCAAGCAAATGTAATAACATGCTTGCATTGTGTTTGCTTTTAACCTGTCTCTGGTGTCTCTATAAATGGGATACCAGGAGACGAAAGGGCCAGGAAAAAGTATTGTGAATGTGTTTGGAGCCTGCTTGTGGGATTGCGTGTGTGTAGAGTGAGCCGATTGTGGCGTGGTATTGTTTCATGGAATACTGCAGGGCAGGCGCTCTGATAGCGCGGGCCCTGCATGGACAGGCCGGGGAGGTCCTGTGACTTCTCTTGCAGGCCTTGGTCCCTGGCTATCGCAGAGCCTGGTGGGCCCGATAGCCAGTCCGGGCCTGTTTACAGAGATTTCTGATGAAGTTGGCCTAAAGCAAATTAATCTGAAACTTTGTACTCACAGATTCTCCAGAATCATTTTGGTCAGCAAATTCTTTAGACTCTGATGGAAGTTTTCCGGGAAGATGGATAGAATTTCCTCTGCAGATGCCAGGCCTTTATATACCACATGTCGGATCAGAGAGTGCAGAGCCTGAACTACCTAATGTCAAAGACAAGAAACGAAAACATGATAATATACTGATAAACAGCACTTTCTAATGTTATGGGATCCTTACATACAGATTTAATAGAGTGACAATAGTGGGAGCTCTTGAGGTAATGCCGCTTAAATAGATACTCTAAGCTCTACTTGTTGGCAATGTCAGGCTTTGAGAGCTGGGGGAGTTTTAGCAAAGCACAATCAATACTTTGGGATTATTGCTTTCCTTCTGTTCATCCCCTAGTTTCCAGCGCCGGGACTCCTCTGCCGCAGCTTCCCGCTCCACCTCCTATGAGGTCAGCATACAAGCTGCTCATTCTCTGCTCCAATCAGTTGGAACTAGGTATGCACAGCCAAATGCCGCGTTCCTCTAATCATAAGCTGCCCTCAGCAGCATTGGATTCCCAGGTTTTTACTCAGTCTGGATTCATCTATAGTGGTTCTAAGGATGTATTTAAAAACAAAAACTGCAATGCTTTTGAGATAAAGTGGTTGGGGTGACTATAGTGTTCCTTTAACCCCTTAAGGACTGGACTGTTTTTGCGATGTTGTACATTTGCGACCAGGCATATTTTTACACTTTTGTGGTGTTTGTGTTTAGCTGTAATTTTCTGCGCTCTCGTTTACTGTTTCCATACAAATTATATATTGGTTTTTTTCAGGACAAAAGAGGCTTTCTTTACATACCATTATTTATATAATCTCATGTATTTTAATTTAAAAAAAAAATAAATATGATGAAAAATTGAAAAAAAATTACATGATTTTTGACTTTTACTTGAAAAATCTTTTACTCATCTACAAAAGCGAATGAAAAAAACTGCTAAATAGATTCAAAAATTTGTCCTGAATTTAAAAAATACCCAGTGTTTACATGCTTTTTTGTATGTTATAGGGCTATAGGTACAAGTAGGATATTGCGGCTTCAAAACATACATTTTTAAAATTTATTTATTTATTTGACATTGTAATACTATTATCTGTCATAAATCTCTGAATAACACCCCACATGTACATGTTTTTTTTTTTTAAAGTAGACAACCCAGGGTATTCAATATGGGGTATGTCCAGTCTTTTTTAGTAGCCACTGGCCAAAGTAAGCATTCATATTTGTGTGTGTGTGTGAAAAAAGTAAAAAAACTAAATTGAACGCTTATTTTGGCCAGTGTTTGTGACTAAGTGGTTACTAGAAAAGACTGGACATACCCCATTTGCAATACCTTGGGTTGTCTTCTTTTGCAAATGGTATGCCATCAAGGGGGTTAATTCTCATTCATGGGCTACCATACGCTCTCAAAGGCAACGTAACCAACCTGGCCATTTTCAATGTAAAAATATTTGACCCATATATTTGACCCTGAACTTTCAAAAATGCTATAAAACCTGTACATGGGGGGTACTGTTTTACTCAGGAGACATCGCTGAACACAAATATTAGTGTTTAAAAACTGGAAGACGTATCACAACAATTATATCAGCAGTAAAAATGCAAAAAAAGTCACTTTCACTGACAATATCATCGCTGTGATATGTTTTACTGTTTTGAACCACTAATATTTGTGTTCAGCGAAGTCTCCCGAGTAAAACAGTACCCCCCATGTACAGGTTTTAGGGTGTCGTAGAACGTTACAGGGTAAAATACAGTGCCAGCAAATTAAATTCTCTGGACTTTCGGCCTGGGTTGGCAGGCAGGTCCCTCAAATTGCAATCAATAAAATTACTTAATTATGTCAAAATATTACTTAAATACGCACATAGAATTTAAATATATATGCATATTTATATATTTGAAGTCTACGTGTATATTTATTTATGTAATTTTGTATATGGACATATGTATAGTTAGGAGATTTCTATTTCATCAGGACACACTTGGAAACAAGAGAAATCTCAATGTATTCTTGGTGAAACATTTAAAATAAATAAATTTCTCCATGATTACTTGTTTAAGGAGAATTTACTGAATTTTGCCCCAATTGAGAAGCCTGCAGCTTACAAGATCGTCACTACTTACCTCAGCAGCTTCTTCAGGGGTGACAGATAGATTGTCCGATACACTATCAATCAACTGTACAGAACCAATGGCAGATGTTGGAAATGAATCCCTGCAAAGATTTCCAACCACATCCTTTGAGGAAGCCTTTAACAAGAGATGAAGAGTTAACTCACTCATTATGCTCTCGCAAATAAAACGATTCAATGTTTGTATAATCTTGACTTTCTATATAAATCAATTTAGAAGGAGCTGTGCCTACAGGACAGGATTCTATAAGAGAACACTGCTTGCAATGAAGGGTAGCAGAATTCTAACTTCTGACAGCAGGCACATGTGATTGGCAGATAAACGGTAGCTAGTTAAAAATCATAAAAACAATTAAATTAACCCAAATTAAACTAGTTTTATATATAAAGATGTGCTAAATCCTGGAACTGAGCAGCACCACACAATATTCAAATAGAAGAGGCCAGAAAGTGAATGTTAAATAAACTAATTAAGAAACTGACTTTAAAGGGTGACTATAGTGCCAGGAAAACAAACTAATTTTGTTGCTTCCGCCTCCATCAAGCCCCCCGTGGTGAAGAAGGGGTTAAAAACCCCTTCTGTCACTTATCTGGGTCCAGCACCAAGGGACAATGGCTGCGCTCGTATTAGGATTTCATATGGGGATTCTGGTGACGCTGGATGTCCTCAAGCACAGCGAGATTACATGTATTATAGCATGTGTGTGCATTAGAGAAGGCTTGGGCCCAATAGGGTTATTGGTCACCATTCTCCACTGATTAAATGGCTATAGATAGACAACAGAGATGGCTGGTAATAATTGTGCAGGACTCTAGCCAGCGTTGTAAGGAAATGTGAAACCATTTTGTGCTTCTGCTTTTGGTTTGTGATTTGAAAGCTGCACAGGCCTGGCCCACAAGTGTTATTTCATAACGGCAGTGTCTGAAGCCAAATGAGCTACCAGAATAGAATTTAATCAAATAATGGCACTGACTGACCAAAGCTGCACTTATGCAAGAAGGCACATCATCAGCTCACCAAAGCATTACAGAGTACGTTGACGCTTTACGAGTAATATTAAGGGAAAAAGTGCTGCTTAGAAATATTACTGCATTTATACACGAATACACATTAGCTCACCAGAGCATTGTACATCGCCACAGTGTATGTCGGTGCTTTATAAACAAACAATAAGAGCACTGCGTGCAACTGTAGCGGCACTTGTATCTACAGGAGCATTGTACAGCGCTGAGGAATATTATTATTATTTTATTAGTTATACATCGCCATCAAATTCCATAGCGAATATGTTGGTGCTTTATAAATATTAACACTGCCTCTAACTACTGCACAGAGCTTTATATTGGCGCTCTATAAGCACAACCCACCGTTTGACGTGTGGAAGATTACAAATCATCATACAATGCATTTAGCAACATATATGTGGTTAGTAGCTGACACAGTGAGCCTTTAATGATTAGAAACCTGGGTGACATACAGTATATATAAATATATATAAATATATACAGCAGCTGTTTGAGATTGGAATACCATAGCATTCTGCAACTCCCATTACTCTCAGCCAGCAGGGTGCCTGTCCTTACCTGGGGGGTACAAGCAGGAAGCAGACACCTACCTTGAGCAGCAGCTGCAGGGCAGCAAACTCCTTCTCCTGCAGAACAGCCATCTTCCAGTCAGGTGATCTACTGAGATCACGTGAGCTGAGGGCAATGGGAGGTCCTCGCAAAGCATGCCGGTTTATGTAGTTCTTTTTTTTTTTTTTTTTTTACTGTTATGGCTGGCTAAGCTTTTGATATTGGTTTTTTTTTCCCCCTTTCATTCTGTTATTTGCTTTCATGCAATTATAGGATAGCAGTAGGACACTAGATATGTGGAATACAACTCCCATGAGGCGCAAATCCCAATTCTACTGGCTTCTGAAGTCTCCTGGCTGAGAGTTAGAGTCACATGGGTACCTGTAGCCAGCAAGCAACTGGAGTGCCAGCCAGCAGGGTTCCCAGACCGACCTGGGTTTTCTTGGTACATATTATTTATGGCTGCAGTACATGAAAATACTGAGAGATGTGTGTGTAGAATTCATATGCTGCAGTCAGGAAATTCACTCATTTATCAAAGAAACTGCCTTGATTTGTTAATGGATTTCTTTCTGTATGAGAGTGATACTAAAGGGCAGCTCTTTTCATGCACTACCCATCAACATGCAGACAATATATGATGTGCCAAAAACCTGCCAGCTTTGCCAGTCGGATACCAGATGGGTGGGGCCATGGCAAAGGGCGCAATTAGTTTCATGCACAACACCCCTGTAAAAAAGGGTGCATGTGCGCCAGGGTGGAATACTGGCCATATCCCAAGCACAGCTTTAGAACTCCCATTGTACAGCGCTACGGAGTTTACTGGCGCTATATAAATAATAAAGTAATAAAAATAATGTATGGCTTAAGTCTTAGTGCTCCGTAATCGTAGTTAAACCGATCCCTGCCATGCTCTTTCCGTCAGTCCTCATCAGGGACATGTCCAGTATCCCCCAAGGAAAAACAAGTCTGTGCAAACTCACAGCGTACACCACACATGTCAAACTCAAAGGCTAGCACGGGCCAAATAAACAAGGATTAAGTTTATGTGGGCCACAAAAAAAAACAAAACCTTACATTTTCATAGAAACTTAGGTTTGTTTTGAAAAGTACAGTATATAAAAAAAAAACAGCATCTCCCTCTACTAAACCCCAGCCCCTGCTCTACTAAACCCCAGTCCCCCCCTGTACTAAATCTCACTCCCCCCTTGTACTAAATCCCAGTTCCCCCTCTACTAAACCCCAGCCCCCCACCCCTTTAATAAATCCCAGCACCCCTTCTACTAAACCCTGACCTTTGTTTAAAAAAAAACAATATTAGCCAACAAGCAGACTCCACTCATATTGCCGATGCCAGTATGCGACTCTGGAGTCCAGCCTCTGGTATACCCCCAATGGCGCCGTACGCACCCCGTGGCAAAGAGGATCCTCCTGCTACTCCTTGAAAACCTGTGAAGGTGGAGCACGTTGACATCACGTCAAAACGTGACGTGATGTTGCGTGCCTCCGTGCACCTTCAGGTCCTCCACTGTCCAGCCGCTGCCATCACAACACTGACCAGACACACTGACAGACACACACACACTAACAGACAGACTCACTGACAGACACACGCACTCACTCTCTGACAGACACACATTCACTCTCTGACAGATACACACTGACAGACACACACACACACACTGACAGACACACACTTACTCACTCTCTGACATACACACTCTCTGACAGACACACACTAACTCTCTGACAGACACACACACACACACTCTCTGACAGACGCACACACACTCTGACAGACAGGCACACACACTGACTGACACACTCACTGACTGACAGGCAGACACACTCACTGACAGACACGCACTCACTAACAGACACGCACACATTTCCACATTCTTGCACACACTAACATCCTTTTCTTTATTGCTCCCTACCTTTGGGAGCTGGTGTGGGGCCTCCCCCTGGGGTCCAGTGGGGATCTTCTCTCATGACATTTGCACAGTCGTTATTCGGCATGTGCTACCCCTTATACTTAAATAAGACACTGACACCGATAATTCTGTTGGAGTACAAAGTCCACAGCTTTATTAATTAATTATAATAAATTAACATAATTTAGGGTCATTGTCCTACTAGACATTATGTTACTATACCCCCACACAGTACCCCTGACAATGACCCTACCAGTTAAACAATAAATAACAACAAATAACATATAACTTGAAACACACGGCCTACCAAAGAGGCCCCATATCATCCAGTTAACTGTAGGGGTATACCTCGGACACCCCTACACCCCCAGGTTCGTAGCCACCGAAGAGCTAGAACCAACCAATCCTTAACTCCATCCGGCCTAAACCTCGGCCTGTCCAGTTCAAATTCCACGCCAAATTCCAATATTTACACCGCCCTGTTCCGCCGCTGTGACCAAACGGAACTGCTAAACTAGGGAGGGTGGGTGGGACAATCTACAGGTAAGAGAGTCTCCAGTTAAAATGGCCCCTATTCTAATATGGCTGCTTCATATACTCCTACTCTCCACCCCCCAAAACTTCACTCCCTAAACCCGGCCCACAATCCTAAGCCCATGCCCACTCCCTGGCTCTGTCAAGGCCCACTCCCCACACTGCGTTGCTCCATGGGCTACCTGACATTTGCACAGTCGTTATTCGGCATGTGCTACCCCTTATACTTAAATAAGACACTGACACTGATAATTCTGTTGGAGTACAAAGTCCACAGCTTTATTAATTAATTATAATAAATTAACATAATTTAGGGTCATTGTCCTACTAGACATTATGTTACTATACCCCCACACAGTACCCCTGACAATGACCCTACCAGTTAAACAATAAATAACAACAAATAACATATAACTTGAAACACATGGCCTACCAAAGAGGCCCCATATCATCCAGTTAACTGTAGGGGTATACCTCGGACACCCCTACACCCCCAGGTTCGTAGCCACCGAAGAGCTAGAACCAACCAATCCTTAACTCCATCCGGCCTAAACCTCGGCCTGTCCAGTTCAAATTCCACGCCAAATTCCAATATTTACACCGCCCTGTTCCGCCACAGCACATGGCTTGACCCCCTTAAGCTAATGTGCGACCCCCACCACATCTAAACAGGGCCTGTGCTACACCATCCTAAAAACCCAGGTTTAGCAAATCATTCCCCACGTCTGATAGGTGTATACCATCCCTCCTAAAATATCCCGGCAACATACCCTCTAATTCCCTATGCCTCACCACCACGCCCCCCGACCGTCTAATAAAGACTGCCATAATCTTGTTGACCTTACCCCTAGATCGAGCTATTGCCGCTGGATCCCTGGCGTGCTTCCACGTAAAGCGAGGCACCATCTCAAACCAAATTACGACCACGCCGGGGACCAGCTCCTGTCAGAGTATTTATATCGGCACACATTTTGTGCTATGATAGAAACTAAAAGTGTATATTCTGAGTCACTCTGAACAGACCAGACTCCATTTTGTTATTTCAAGTTAACAAAGAGACACAGTATTTCTATCTGTAAGCTAACCACTTTCCCAGAGCTGAGGAATGCATAGTATATACAAGACAAGTGATAAGGAAGGGGGTTGGACAGACTGTCTAATGCTAATGGAATATAATCAAATCTAAACCCAGACAATGGTGACAGAGAAGATTAAATAATTTAATATTTAACTGTCTATATATATAAGGTACCATTGTATGGAAAAGGGTAAACTTAGTTCATGATCTGTCATATCAGAAATTATAGCAGATTTGCAGACACATAGTCTGGACAAAATGTAAGAACCCCTTTGATCTTTGAAGGATACGTAAGTTATAGCCACTATCTAGATAGGCCAAAATGTCGTCAAAATAGCCACCAGGAAAAGTTAACTCTTTCCTGGATAGGTATGTTTAGTGGGACAAGACTGCCCTCTATAGACCAAATAACTAATTTGTGATCTGGAAGATAACCACACCTCTAGTGCTTCTATTGGGTTATCAACTGATGACGTACAGAGAGTATGGCCCTTTAAAAGTTAAGACAAAGGGAAGATAGAGATACGAGAGAGGAGGCAGATGCAAGATATGCAAAGGAGAGGAGAGAGGAATTGGAAGTTTGGGGACTCCAACTCGGACAACATCTGAGGCTAACACTCTACTCCTAAAACTCTAACACTTAGAATTTACTGACTTTCTAACCAACACCTCCATGCAGAGAGACTACCAATCGGATGAAATATCTACTCAACTGGTAATTATACTGGTTTCATTTAATTAAATTAAATTAATTAAAATGTATTAATAGCATTATATATGACTGGATAAAGCACGGTCAGATTTCCATATTAAGAAATCTTAGTTAACTAAGAATATATAGTTATAAACATTCCATTCTGCAGGTGGAATTAAGAATAATTATATATTGATGTGATATTATCACGTGTTAGCATACCGCTGTTTTATCCAGGTGTATTGATTTGCTCTAAATTAAGATAGATATCTTTTAGACAAATTAAAAATCTGCTTATATAATATGTAGATTCTCTTATTGGATTGTTTTCAGGAAATGGCTAATGAACTGGTTTAAATGTTATTTTATTTAAAAATTACATCAGAATAGATCTTAACTACCTAGGAGATCTAGCCAGCATTGAAAGGGTTATTCTAACTGTCGGCTAAACTTTACGACCTTACGCTGCACTCTGAGGAATTCTGTTCTTCGCTGTGAAAAGTTTCACTTTCAGCCTGTGTTAAAGATAGTCATAAATAATTCTTGACAGGAAATGCTATTTAGCCATTGTAACGTAATACCCATTTCTTTGTATTGCATATAATTTTGTACTGAATATTCATTGATTATTGTTATGCATGTTACATATAATATTATTATTATTAATTTGTCATATAAATAAAATCTATTTTTATACATTGTGATATTAATTATATGAAATACATTCCACTTAACACGATAAACGTTCTTTGGGATCTGAGAATTGAATTAGTGGGCAATTCTCACTGTTACTATTATTATCCCATAAATATCCCCACACTCCCTCAGCCGATCCATATCCCTCTTCATCTT